AATTCATTATATTATACTTAGCGAGCTCTTTATAGCGTTCTTTCTTTACTTTAAATATAAAGTGAATAGACCTACGGATACGTTCTCCGCTTAATATAATCTAATTATATTCATATAGCTCTTTAAACTCCTCGAAGAAAGAGATAGCGTTCTTCTTATTAAAGTATAGAAGATTATTACTTCCGTTCGAGCTCTAAGGTATTTCTCTTATTAATATTATAGTAGGAGGGGTGTATAACGGTTATATCGTCGAATTCGGCGTCGATAGATCTTATAAGCTAATATTCGATATCGTAGAAGGCCTTAGCTTTTCTTTACCATTCGATTCTCTCGTAGACGATATTTTCTTAATATTAAATCGTTCTTACTCCTTCTCTTATAATTAAAATAGTATAAATCTTAATAACGAAACTAAAAGGTTTAAATATTTTGTTGTTTTCGTTATTTTTATTAATATTTTTAGTTATTTCTCTTTTTTCTCTCTTCATCTCTTCACCGACTTTCTCGTTAAGCTTCTTTCTCGTCTTTATTAGTAATTTCTATTAAAATTTTAGATCTACTTTCCGATTAATAGCGCTTTAACTTCGTCTATTTTAGTGAGTCTAGTCTAACCGCTTATTTTCACTATTTCTCGAGTAAATCCGCGTTCTTCGACTTCTCCTAAGCTTCTTAAGTCCGAAGTTTTTAAAGTTAAACGTATTCCTACGTTCCTAGAAGATACTTCTCTCTTAATTCTTTTAGATAGTCTAAATAGTCGTTAAGTCGTTAGTCTCCACCTTACATAGTGATAGTAAATATATATAGCTAGTAATCCTAAAAGGTACCTCGAGTAGCGGTCTCTATGAATAGTTAGCGTAAACCGCTCCGTATAGCGGGATAGACTTACTTAGCCAGTAATCTAAATGGTATACTCTACGCAGCGGTTCTATATATATAGTCAGTTTCTCTAGATTTAGTTAGATAGATAGATAGGTAATTCTTTAGTTCTATTAGTCCAGTAAGCAGTTTATTTCAGTCGTTCATCGTAATCTTCTCTCACCGCTCATAGAGAGACACCCATCCGTAAGTATTCGTCGAAGATCTTATTGGTAGCACCACTAAACTGGGGCGAGGCTACTAGCCATGGGCGTCAACTCGTACGGCGGTGGGATAGCCTCTTTACAGCACGCACACTCAACCAAAGGAAGTTCTCCCGTTCATAACTTAATTGATTATTCTATGAATGATAGTCCCCGATGACTATATAAGAAGAACCTTAGTCTAGCGTCGACGCCCTAGCTAATTATAAAGCTATCCCCCACTTTAAACTTCTCCCATTATAATAGTGGTGAAGCGATGAAGCGATAAAGCATCTATATACTAAAGCGATGAAGTACTTCTAGATTAATAGTGATGAAGCGATGGAGCACTTCTAGATTAATAGTGGTGAAGCGATGGAGCACTTCCTAATTAAAGATAGTAGAGCGATGAAGCATTACTCTTCTAAAGAGAGTAGAGCGATGGAGTATTCTTTGAGAGTATAGAGGGAATCGACGACGATATCTCGTCGAGAAGAAATAGCGAAGATATAAGACGACGGATATACCTAGAGAAGAGAAAAGAGCGTTCGGTGAAGATCGAGAGAGAAGATATAAGAGAGAATCTCTCTATTTCTAAAGAGAAAGACACCGGTAGAATAACTTTAGAGAGAGTATTAAATTATAGCTTCTATTCGACGCTATATTTTTATAGTTTCGCTATAGATTTTTTATTAAAGAACGAAGGCGTTTCTAGCTTAATAACTTTATTTAATATTAATTCTTCGTTATTTTTTAAACTTTTACTTACTAATCGCTTATAAGTCGGTAGCGTAGTATCTACGATCTTTATATATCGCGTTAACTCTTTATCTTCTAGCTCTACGAGTATAGCTTCGTTTTCTTATTTAAGACGATATCGTACGAGTCTTCGCTATAATTCTTAATATCGTCGGTATATTCGTTCGTCTTCGTTATCGAGTGTATTAAGAGAGTTAACTACGCTTCGCTCGGAAGTTATATCTACTTCTCGCTCTTCTTCGCGCGAGTTACTCGGTATAGTCTAGCTCGACGACTAATCTACGGATATATCTTCAGACTGAAAGCGAGTAATTATTCTCTCGTCGGTGAATATTCTACGTATCTTACGCTTATCGCTTACTTCGATCGACTTAGAGTTAACGCTTAAGAATATTAGAGATTTCTTAGTAAGTAGGTAGAATCTAACGATAAGTGTATATTTAAGATATCTCTATAGTATATAGTCGATACTATATACGACTTAAGCGTAAGAGAGGAAAGAGTGCGCCTCCTATACGGGGAGTATACTAGTAATAAGAATGTACTTCTTGAGTCGTATCTCTTAGTTGGTGGTCTAATTATATTAGACGTTCATCCTTCCGATGTTTAGTCGAATCCGTAATACTAACGCTCAACTTAAACGAAACGAAATTACTCTTAGAGTAACTTTAGAGATTATTACTAAGTAAGGCGCGCTATCTCCTCCGTATACTACTAGACGTAATGGGCTATATAAGCTTAAGCCTCCCGCACCTTATTCCGTAACTTTAACTTCTTTCGCTTAATACTTTAATACTTCGACTCGGAATACTAATCATTACACTTTATATTTTTCTTCAGATATTTAGAGTAACGAGAAACTCTCTGCTTCATTACACAGATCGAGTGAGAACGGTCGTAGTTCGAATACGGCGCTATGGCACGGTGGCCGGTGGATCGAACGTTACGGAACTAACGAAGACGTTTAAGAGAACGGTCGCGGCCACGAGAAAGAAACTTCTAGAAAAGGAACGGAGAAAGAGAAAAGATATTGTAACAAGGCAAGGTGGCTGTGTTGTGATGGGCCGTGCTGGGCTGGTAGAGCGGTGGCAGGGAGGAAAAGTTGTTTAGTCACATGTCAAACCTAAATGGGCTGGCAGAAGGGGGTGCAGAACAGTTTATAGTGCTGGCAGTGTGCCATTCATTAGAGATTGAGCAGAGCATCATGAATTCCATGGCTTTTGGCGCCGTCTACCTAATTCCTGAGTGTTTTTTTATCAGTCCTGTCCTGTCCGTCGATGCTCCCGCTGTGCTAGGTGTTTGTAGCCCTAGCCGCTGCCCCTCTGGGTGGTGTTGGTGGTGTTGTCTTTTCAGTATCAACCAGAAACGCGTTCTCGATTCCCGATCTGCTGGATAGGCCTCTGTGCGTTGTTGCACGTGCACGCTAAACCCTGAAGTGCTCTGTTACAATATCTTTAGACCTAGACGAATTTAAGTTAGGCACTATTCCGCTTTTATATCACCGCTAAGATAAATCCTTAGAATAAGAATCTAATCGGAGAGAGAATAGTGTTAGATATAGCCTTAAGAGAGACCGATCACGAGCTATAAAGGCTCGGCTTACTATACTCATTAGATAAATAAAAGAATTCATAGAAGAACAAGGCTAGGTTACGTAACATACTTTACTAACTCTGCTAACCCTATCGGCCCTGTTAGGACAGAGCGCACAGAGCGCATAGAGCGCATAGAGCGCACAGAGCATAGGCAATATATATACACTCTCATTACCCCTAGATAGCTTATACTCCCTTCGTAGCCAACTTATGTTAACTATTGAACATCGTTCTTTAGTAATAAGTGACTGTTCATACCTTGCGTAATTCATAACCAGTTCATACTATTAGAATTATTACTAGAAACCCTAACCTAGTTAAACCTTAGTAGGAACCTTAATATACCGCTCTATTAGCCTAGTATAGCTTATTATAGTATAGCTACTTTATCTTATTATAATATAATAAGGCGAGGTGGCTATACTATAATAAGCTATACTGGGCTAGTAGAGCGGTAATAAAGAGAAAAAGTTATCTAGTTATATATTAAATCTAAATAGGTCAGTATGCGGAACAGTTTACAGTGCTAGTAGTGTATCATTCATTATAGATTTATTATAGTTTAAGTAGAGTATCATAAATTCTATAGTTTTTTAGCGCTATCTACCTAATTTCTAAGTGTTTTATCAGTCCTATTTTATTCCTCGATGCTACCGCTATGCTAGATATTCGTAGCCCTAGCCGCTACCTCTCTAGGTGGTGTGGGTGGTGTTGTTATTGTTGTCAGTATCAACCAGAAACGCGTTCTCGATTCCCGATCTACTGGACAGGCCTCTGTGCGTTGTTACACGTGCACGCCGAACTCTAAAGTGCTCTATTATAATAATACGTTATATAGTAAAGCGATTTATAATGTAATAGAGTACTTCAGGGTTCGGCGTGCATATATAACAACGCATAGAGGCCTATCTAGTAGATCGGAAATCGAGCACGCGTTTCTAGTTGATACTAACAATAATAACAACACCATCAACACTATCTAGAGGGGCAGCGGCTAGGGCTATAAATATCTAGCACAGCGGTAGTATCGAGGAATAGGATAGAACTAATAAAACACTTAGGAATTAAATAGACGACGCTAAAAAGCTATAGAATTCATAATACTCTGCTCGAACTATAATGAATGGCACACTACTAGCACTATAAACTATTCTGTACCCCTCTCTACCAGTCTATTTAGGTTTAATATATAACTAAATAACTTTTTCTCTCTACTACCGCTCTATTAGCTCAGTACAGCCCATCATAGTATAGTTATCTTGCCTTATTACAATAATAAGATTACTTATTTATTATTAAAGAAACATCGTACGGAGATTAAGTATTCTACTTAAGAAAGAATAAGAGATATAAAGAGAAAAAATTACGACGAATATTCTCTTCTCTTCTTAGTAGATTTCTTTCCTTTATAATTAGATTATTTATCTAGTTATAGAACTCTTTCTAAACTCTTATAGTTTCTAAGAGGCTAATCTCTAAGCCTCTAGACTTTTATATAGACTTAGCTAAATATTAGTTTTATTATTCTAAAAATAAATAGTATAATGACACTTAATAAGATGATTTTACTAGTGGAAAGACATTCTTATTACAGTTTCTCCCTTAGGTGCCGATACTTTAAAGGCCATATACCCTGCTTACCAGGAGATAGAATTCCATTTGGATCAACTGTATCCTGCGACAGTAATTAGCGAATCGCAGAGGAAGTGCCCTCTATAAACTAACCTTCAATCTCTCTATAAATCTCCGGTATGCATGGTCATTGAAGTCATACGCATCCGCGACAAGATCTATAGACTCAGTGAGAAATAATTTTCAATGAATGGAATTTTTTTCATACCCATGTAATTGATGTGAGATCGATATTTGCTGAAACCCCTCTGACGGCCTTCTCTGTATAGGCTCCGGAAAATAGTATCGACAGCTTTACGATGATCTGAGTTCGTCTTGTCGAAGACCATCATATTGACGAAAATAATATGTCGTTCATGCATAAAAAAATCGCAGAAGAGGTCAAATCCTTGGGTTTCGCAAATCTCTCTAGCAGTTCTCACCCATTCAAGCACTGTTTTGCCATCGGAAGGAATGATAGGTGAATAGTCCGCATGTGCACCGATACCTGCCTTTTCCTTGGGAAGTCTATACCGCACCATTGGCAGGCTCCATAGACTGGGCACTCCAGCAAAGAAACCGCCATGAGGATCTGGAATAGAGGTTGCTTCCAAGAGTTTGTCGTTCTCACCGGAGAAGAGGTGACCTTGAAGACGGTGCTCCGAACCGGGCGCCTTCTTTCCAATAATCCTCTTCAGCTCATCAAAGTGCGATTGCACCACCTCTTTTGCGCCATATAAGCCGAATTTAACATTCCAATACCCGAAACCCAGTTGTGTCTGGAGCTCTCGGAGCCGCCAGTCGGGAATAGGTCCTTCTTCCGGCCACAGCTCAGTACGTTTGCCGGTCATCCCCAACCATTCAACAATATTTGAGACGTACACCGTGTTTGGCAATAGGCCATCTCTCCGCAATATTCCGAAAATGTCCACAATAACTTCCACATCTTCAAAATTTGGCATATCAAACGTGCAAGACATGTACGCTTGCGGTTGCGGGTGAAGCCAGATTCCCATCTTGGTGACAATGCCTAGATTGCTCTGTAAGAATAGCCCTTCAATAGATGGGCCAAAGCTGAATTTTGACAGATGTGCTGATGGGGAGTTAGGAATCGCAAATTGCCCGGTCCGCACAATGTCCCCGTCGGCAAGCATGACCTCCATGCCACTAATATGTTGATGGTGTGTTGCAGTTGGTGTGAAGCCAGTTCCTCTGTCCACGGTCCGTTGAACAATCAGTATATCTTCGCTTCCAGTGAGGTGGATCACGTACATTGCCCACAACGCTTCCCCACCCCAATGAAGGTACGCTTGGCCAAACTCGGAGTTTGTGCTCGGCACAGTGCAGGTACAGGTCAGTAAACGTTACCCCTGGCTCCACGACCGCGTACGAGAACTTGTCATTGACTTCGATAATTCTGTTCATGCGATGTAGATCAAGCGCAACTGACCCATCAAGTCGGGGTGCCGGTCCACCATAGCTACAATATTAGCTCTGGACTCACTCATTGTTACACGAATCAGCTCACCCCAAATTCTTTCCTCGTGAGAATGTCCACACGGGAATACCGGACTTATTGGCTACTGCAAGAACTTCTCGTAGCTCTTTGGTCGATGAAGGGCTGGATGTTTAGTAACATCTACAAATCCTTTGCTCGAACCCATGCTTACCATACTGCCGCACTCGGCATCTTCCTTCTCCCCTCTTCCTCCCATAACTCGTATGGATCCACATACTCTTCCAATGCCTGTCCCCGAAAGACATTGCCCTTTCCCACGGCATTTTCGAATTCGACGATCGCACGATCAAACTGCTCCTGGTCTACACCCGGTGGAAGAACATTCTTCAAAGGACACAGGACAGCCTGCGAAAAAAGTTTTTGATGGTTCAATTGATACTCGGGATCATTGTATCGGATAGGGAACTTCACATCCCTGGACCTCATGGCTGGCTGAGGTGGAAACCTGCTACACCGCGGTCAGTGAGCGGTGCATTCACTTTGTAGATTGAACGTATTGCCTTTTGAATGCTTCCAGATCCTGCTCCACATTTGCTCCAAATGGGGCCAGCCCCATCAGAACTTCCAACCCCACATTCGCCTATTGGAGATAAAGACCCCTTCCTGTTGACTCCAGCTCCACTTCCCCGAATTCTTCGATGCGTTGGCAGATGAATAGCCCGACACCTTCAACAAGCACAAAGCTGGACTTTTAGGAATACGGACTCTAAAGATCCTCTCAATCGTCTGCCTTATCATCACTCCGCAATACATGTAGCCTTTGTACAGCCAGGCCTTAATCTGCGCTTTTGAGTCCTGGAACAAATCGGAGAGCGTGACAGTTTAAACTTTATCCTAATCTCGAGACCATAGAGTGAGGAGCACGAGTTGGCGTTTCGTCGTAACTTTCTCAACCGCCCTCCCCTACATTGAACTAATATAGTTGGAAGAATGCTGACTACCGCCACTAATGCTGTGTCAATCCTCGCTGAAGCATAAAGCCCAGTCTCTGTAAACACCTGCGGTAACCAGAAAAGTCCAATGAAACCCCAGACCTGGCGTAGGAAGGCGATGAATACTCCAACTCTTGCGCCATCTTCTCGGTAGCAATCGACAAAAGTCACCATAGTGGTTGTAACGATTTGATTCCTGGCACCGGCAATAGCAGCGCCAACAACCAGCGTAACATTGTAATAGAGCGGCTGCAATCGTTCGATTTAGACCAAGAAAACAATGATACCCCAATAGTCAAAAAATGACTGACATAGCTTAGCCATAGGCTGAACTTGGCTGGTGCAGGACGACCAAGCTTGTTCTTGCGTCTGTTCATCCACCAGTCGGAAGTGTAATCGCCCTGCCCAATTGTTAGTGCAGATCTAGCGCTGATCGACTCAACTCACAATCTGTTCTCCAATAACTGATCCAATCACGATCGCAATAAACTGCAGACCCATTTGCTGATCATTGAAGTGAAACTTGGGCCCAAACAGCTGCGACACCTCCACAGTAAGCATGACGCTTCCAAAATGGAAGATCATAGCATAGGCTGCAGCCTGAATAATCACCGAAGGATGGTGGACAAATCGAAAGGGCTGGATGAAATCGTACACCGTCAAGAGAGTCGAGTCGATACGCTTGAAGGTGAAATATTCTTGCTTGTAAAGTCCACGGGCATGCCTGACGCCAGTGCGAATATGTCAAGTCTCAGGGCCGAGGAACACGTAAAGTATAAATCCCCGTTTGTCTGGAGGCACGTTAGCAAGCTACAAGATATTGAGCCGACAGCAGCCTACAATGGTGAGCACGTAAAATATCCATCGACAGGCCACCCTTTGCGCAACGAAGCCAAAGATGAAAGGTGAGACTGTTACGCCAATGGCTACCATAAGAATCCAGACACCCATGCACCGTGCTCGATCTTTCTTGAAGAAACTTCTCGGCGACAAACGGCACTGCCAATCTCGGCAGAGGGATAGGTGGAAAAAAAAACAATAATAGCCCGACACAGACTCACCGTAGCATATGAAGGACTGTTCGCACTGCCACTTTTTCGGCAAAACTGTAAACGAGGAAAATCAGGAAAATAGGGCGCCTTCCGAATCGGTTCGATAATGGTCTTCACAGAAGAGGAGCGCTGACAAGAACCGCAATCTGGAGGGAGGTGAGATATGTTGCATATTGGAAGCTATGTAACATGAAGATCAGTGGCAACGCTTTCGAACGCCGATTGGATTGATGTAGCAGTAAAGGTTGCCATCATAGTGTGGAAGACAACAAAGATAAGATTGACGATTTATGTAGTTCGAGTTCGGCTACATAATTATATGGGTCCACATCATTCATATCAGGAATAGAATCCAGATCTATATCACCGTAGCGGTGTAGAAGATATTCTTTGTGCTCGTTCGAGAGTGCATTGATCTCGTCTCAGTCGAGATATGTGCGAACAGGTGCAAGGTCTTCGAAGCATTCTGCAGATTTTCTGCCTACAGAGGAGTTGTGGCCCGCGCCAATATGCTCTTTGCTCCGAATCCGTTCTTTGTTGTTGTTCTCCGTGCTTTTGTTGGATGATGTTACTCCTCTCTGGGTATCTTGTGAGTTGAACTGGAAGGAGGATGCCTGAACAGTTGGCTTGCTTGCCTCTTGCAGACAACCGCAACAATGGGGAGAAACAAGGATTTCTCCACGGTTTTCGAAAAGTCTTAAGTAACCCGAGCTTCACAACAACATTTCAGGCTTTTCCAACAAGGGGAGAAAGCCTTTTCTCACGTCTTCCAAGTCTCCACGTAGGCTACCACCCTGTGGGTGTCTCCGGTCTCCTTACCATTGCAGTGCCTTACCGTTGCAGTGGACGGATTTCATCACCGTTGAGCACTGCAGATCCAGGAGGGGTTGATCTCTTCACGAAAAGGGCATAAACCCGGTGTATTGCGGAGATGCCACAAGTGTTACCCATCAATGTCGTTCCCGGCTTGTCCATGGAAAAAGTGAGGAGACTGGCTGGGGTATAGGAATATCTATTGCGAGCTTGGGGAAAGACTCGGGATATTGGTACCATCACTCTCATGCCGAGGTGGAAATGATTTGCCCCGTTAAGATTTTTCAGTCGTGAAGGCAAGAAGTTCTTTGGACATTTGTGGAGATCTTGCCTCCGTGGTCTTTAGGATGTTGTAATCCGTAAAGGATAGCATTGAATGCATGGTTTAGTAGCATCAAAAGGCATTCAAGTATAGAAAACCGCGAAAGGTTGCGGGTGAAAATAATAATATTATCGTCCCGGTTCCCAACCTTGGAAGCTTGGTACCTGCCAAGGCCCAAATGGCTAAACGCTGCCAAGTCATTCAGGCACCATGCTTTGCGGGGTTGCTAGCCTTGTGAGCCCCTTTTCCGATGCCGCACTACCGAGTCACTCCTTACCTGCAAATCCCCGCGTGGAGAGCATAGAATCACAGCCACAGTCTGAATCGTGAAAGTCGGGGAAGTGAAAATGCAAAGAGCCTTCGTCGGAACGTCTCACTTATCATGGTTGGTGTGAACTTCCTAATATTGATTACATTCCAGTTTCTTTTTCAGATGACAACCTGGTCGGTTTTGCGGAACTCGTCTAAACTTTTGAAGATGTTCGTACTAGCTTGCGAAGAACTTGTCTTCGCCAGATTTCCTCTTATACCTTCTCAATATTCTCTACCAGAGATTCAAATCTGTCGGTACTCTTTGTCTCTCCACTATCGTGGGCAACCGCATGTTCATTTCCAACTTTTTGGTGCACGAGCTCAGTAACTCCGAACAAATCGTCCATCTGCTCCAGAGACATCCCTATTCACCATGATCAGACGATTGGATGTTCCACGTTTTCGTGCTCAACTCACCTTTGGTGTCCGGAACAAAGAACCATACGAACACGAAGGAACAGGCGCAACAGGCGCTAAAGAATATGTAGGTTCTTCCTCTATCTGTCAGCAATCGTAGAGTTCAGGGTGTTCTCGGGCGTATATTGAAGCTTGACTCACCCATATCCATTACTTCCCATATTTACCAACATATTTGGCACTGCTCGTGCAATGACAAAATTCCAAAGCCACTGGGAAGATGCGGCAATAGATACGTTCATTGAACGCAGTCGTGCACTGGGAATCTCCGAAACATATATCCAAGGAGTCGCTCCCCATCCCATTTGGAAAAACACCGCAAATAAGTAGATGCACACAAGGGCAAAATATCCAGCACCGGAGATCGGCACACCAGCTTTGGGGGGGGAGATGCGAACGTAAAGACCAATGTACATCATGTCGCAGGCAATCGCAATAGCTGTCCAGAGCAGAGATCGTCGTCGCCCCAGTGAATCGGCAAAGAAAATTAGATAAGTGGCACACGAGCACATTTTAATAACACCGTAGACGCCAGTTGCTAGTAGGCTAACCGAAGTCCCAGTAATTCCTATGTTTTTGAAGATGGTTGGTGCTTGGGGTCATCTGGTCAGCAACTTCGCGGGAATGAAACTAGCTTCAAAGGTGTGAAGCTCACCATAGTAATTGATTGCGTTCGAACCAGTTAGATTCTGGAACATCATGAGAATAAAGCTGATCAGTGCTCTTTTTCTATTGCCAGGAATGGTCCACATTTCGCGTTGCAGGGCTCGCCAACCAGCACCGTTGACCAGCAGCCGCTCCCGCTCGAGCTGAATAGCGATGTCCCTAAATTCGTTCTGCACGTAGGGATGGTCCTCTGGGAGATTGCGGACTAAAGAGAGCACCTTTTTGGCTTTTTCCCATTGGTCTTGCTTTGCAAGATAGCGAGGGGATTCATTCATGAAAAACATGCCAACGATTAAAAGAACTGCTGGTATCCCTTGAGTTGCCAGGGGCACCATGTAGGAACTAGAACCTGTGAGGTGGAGCGAGACACCATAGTCGATCCAAAAGGCAAGCATGACACCAAAGGTGTTGAAAAACTGAAATGTTCCAGTGAGAGCGCCGCGAAGCGCCCGAGGAGCATTCTCCGAGACGTAAAGAGGAGCAATCATAGAGCACGCTCCTGCACCGAGGCCAGCAATAAGCCTACATAATGGTCAGGGGATGGTATCATGTCGGGAGCCGCACAGGAGACGTACCGAGCAGTGTACATGCACCCTAGGTAACCCGAGGCTGCGAATTGCATGATGATTCCCACCAGGCCGATAACGGCCGAGACGATCAATGAAGCACGCCGTCCGTATCTGTCAGCAAAGGGGTACGCCACTAGAGCGCCAAAGGTGCAGCCAAGCTGCAGGAAGGAGACAATGTTGGCCGACAGTGTTGCGGATTGGTTTTTACTAAGGCCATCAAAGTGATACTTCCTGTTCATTTGTCAAATTTGGCCACATAGATATGCAAATGGCGACAGACTCTGTAAAAGCAGGAAGAACGATGACACCTCCTATGATACCGGTATCCATGCCAAAGAGCATGCCAGACATACATGCCTGGTGAGATTGGAGTTAGCATCTGCGCATGTAGAAATTGAAAACGCCATAGAACGAATTGAGGAGGCAACTGGGTTCAAAAACACATACTGTCAACGTCAACACGAAAGCTCTCCATCCGTAAATCTCGACAGGATCTTCTTTCATAGCATCATTGCGAATGATCTTCTTGAGGATAGAAGTCATATTGACACCTATCTCTAAATGCAAATAACCTGTTCAAGTGGGGTCCTTGCAAGGCACAAGAAGTAGTAACGTGTGTGCAGGAAGCGAAGTTTCAGGAGAATGATATGCAGATATAAGTCTAGAACAGCCAACTGCGGTAGACCAGCCGAAAGCTACAACCCTGCAGAGAGAATAGACTCGGCATATGGTGATATCCGCGGTAAATAGTAGCAGAACTCAATCACCAGCCGGCGGAGCCTCCGCGCATCCCTGGAATGAGGATTATGCTTCGTCCTCATTCCCATCCTAAACCTGACGACTCGGCGAATCAATGTTGCAGGATTATTGCATCGAGTTCAGGATATTGAGGCGGAAATGTAGTGCATTTCCGGCATGCTCGGAAAAGGTCCGGTTTTGTACTTTATTGGCTCATCCGGAGAATCCATGATTTCTGGGTCAAGTCTACTAGGAGGGTCTTGGAGGGTCTCCGTGACTTTAGAATGGCTGGGGAATATGCTGGACTACAGGACACTTCAGCAGCGAGTGATCAGCTAATATTATATCTCCAAGAAAACAAAGAATCACATGTTTGCAACCAAATTTTCTCCCGAATGTGGTTGAATTCGACCGCCCGTCAGTCCAATTTAACATCGCGTACGAAAACGCCAGAAGCAAGGCATTCTGGTGGAAATATCATTGGTGTGTGCTGGTAAGACAGTCTTTCACCTCAAACAACATCTTTGCAATCTGTAGCGTTTCGGAGACAGCATGAAGCGAATTCCACAAATCGGTTTCCTATTCGCAATTGTCCTGCAACAGACTTTGTTCTTGACCATAGTGGCGGCTATGCCTCTGCTCAAGTAAGCATTCCTAAAATCTTGCCTACGCCACACTTCCTCTGTGCTGTCCTTCTCTTTCGTAAGCTTCACTACCTAGGGACCATTCCCTCATTTTGATTGAATTGGTGTAAACTCTTCCAACGCCTTCTGGAGTAGCTTCTCATCCCTTGGAACGAAGGCTACTTGAAACCTATGAGGCTGTGCGACCAGCTTGGTTGGATCAGCCGTGCCTCGAACTGGATCAATGTCCACGTCCCCCTCGAGTGTGATCTTGAAACAGCTGATAAGCCGCATAATAATAAGATATAGCTCCCGATTCGCTAGTAAAAAGCCGGCACACATACGGTAGCCGATGCCATATGTGAACAAAGGGGCGTCTGGTTGTTCTAGCCAGCGGCTTGGTCGGAAGAGTTCAGGATCGTGCCACAACTTTGGGTCTGTAATCATCATATTAGTGGACGCCACACGACGGGGAAATGGAATGAATGCGTACCCATATTGCAGGCGTGGGCGTTCAAAAAGAATGTAGTTCCCTTGGGAAAGGACATGCCATTATAGCTTACTTCTTTGATGGAAGTTCGTGGCAAATTCAGTCTGAGTACCGTATACATCCTCAGCCCTTCTTTTACAAGAGCCACGATGTACGGAATCTTCTGGTCGTCATTCGCATCACAGAAGGGACTCTCTGCTGGATACACCTCTCGAATTGCTCGGTAGGCAGTTTCTTGGATGTCCGGGCGTTTGGACAACACGGCTATAAGCCAGGCCAGGGCTGTGGTGACCGTATCGAGACCTCCGGATATCATGGTTAGATTTATGCTGGTAACTTCCTCTTCACTCAGTTGGATTTCTGGATCATTAATGATCGCTTCCTGAATGCAGGGACTCTGGGCGCCCTTTTCCATCCGATCAAGAAGGCTTTGATTCAGTTGGTCAAGGTAAGCATCTTGTCGACGGCGTGTAGCCTTGGCTTTGATCGTCTTTTGGTTGAATGGGTTTAACCTCAAGAGTGGAATATAATCTTGTAAGTTACCAGTCACACTTCTGAAGCGGCTCACCTGGTCTTCCACTTCAATCACCTCATTGAAAAGCCTATCATCACGAGAGTCCAACCGAATGCCCCAGTTAGTCGTCAATGCAAGACTTAAGCTGAGCCGCTGAGCACATGGATAACAATCAAAAGCCTTCTTTCCCCACTCGCCCTCGGCAAGTAAATCCCTGCAGAAGTCCTGGGTTTCGAGGTCGAGATGAGAGGCATATTTCTGCGCAGATGGGCGATTAAGCGCTGACGCTGTGACTTTGCGGCGTCTTTTCAAGCTCTCGCTATACGGAGTAGTACCAACCGTGGTGGCCGTACCAGTGAGTACCTTCACGCAAATTAGCACTGAATCCAGGGTGTACCTCGCAGACACACTTTATGAAACGTGTAAAACTCTGGTCTCGAACTTAGGGCCGAAGTATGCTGCCCAAAAAGACCTCTTGCTGCCTCCGCAGAGTTGACAATGATTATTGGCACATTTCCAAGTGACACTTGATACACATCTCCATATTTCAGAGACCAGATTCTGTACTGCTCTGCAGCGTTTTTCCGGATGGACCAGAGGTTCCCAACCAACGGAAAGCCGACCGGTCCAGATATACCAGGCAGTCTGGCGGAATAGCGGATGAATTCGTTGATGACAATATAAAACAATGGGACAACGAGCATTAAAACCGCAACGGAGTGAACGGCGTGTCCGAAGACCCATTCATTGATGGTGTTGAAGGGGGAGACGGAATAAGCCATCCTGTTTGCATCCTATGTCAAAGATGTATCTCACGTACACGGCTAAATAATGCAGCCAAGTACTACAACCCTACCATGAAAGCCGCAGGAGTATACCTTAATTGATATAATAGAATCGCGTGAGTATCTGGACCGGCCAAAGTGGGTTCAGGATTTCATCGCACAGCAAGGTCGTGCCGCTCCATCCAGGCAGCCTTGCCAATGCCCCAATAGTGATCTCGGTCTTCGAATGGAGCTACCACGGCCGAGTTGACAAAACCCCATTCGACCACGGAAAAATGTGCCCGCGGAATGTGGCCGGGTGGATCAGGAGAGAAATCCGAGACTTTTTCCTGGCGTCAAAGCATTCGCCCACTTGAACCCAGGATCATGCAAACAGCATGTTCGCTAACGACAGATAATATTTCCGAGCGTTCTAGTTATGTTTCCCCATTACATATCCGCGTCCAGCGAGTATTCTTCATGCAGATGAACTTGACAATATGGACCCCGGGAGATCGCCGGGTCAGTTCATGCTGCAGCCTGTTCCGTCGGTACGAGCCCTCAACTTGACATCCAGATTAGGTGGCCCCATTTCGCCAGAGAACTCCTACACCTTTGACGATGAGATTACCCATTTCAGTCCTAGCCTACAGGACTCGGGCATTATACGCAACGACAGGTGCAGCTCTGACCTACAAGATCCTGGGGTAGGGAGAACTTCACCGGGGGTCAATCGAAGCAGAAAGGGTGGCAGAAGTAAAAGCCAAAGAACTAAAGTCAGCAGAGCATGCGACGCTTGCAAACAGTGAGTAGGCGATATATACGGAGTATCATGATACGCCACTAATCATGGCTACAGAAAGAGGACCCGTTGCTCGGGAGATCAACCTTGTGTGCGTTGCAGACACCTGGGCATTTCCTGCGACTACTTCGCTGTCTACACTAGGGGTCGCCTGCCCACTGTACCGACTTCTACGGTAGCTGCTCAGAGCGAGGCCCGCCTCAGTCCACGGCGTGGATTAGATAATATCACTTCCGTACTGAATCAAGGCTCTCTTGTGACACAGATCGATCATCATGCCGACAAATCTGATGGGCGCTCTGGACACACAGCGCATGTCTCATCAAGAAACTCGCCAGTCCCGAGTGCGAATATTGGCGGCCAATATCATGGGCCCTCATCCCCGATCACCTTTTTGGAAAGAGCCTGGAAGCGGCTCAGGGAGAATCACGCCTCAAGTACATCGAGGGCGCCAGATAAGGAGACGTCTGCCGAAAGGTCTATCTTAGTGACGGACGACGAGTGCGAGCTGCGTCTCTCAGACGAGGTCTTCCACATGCCCTCAAAATCTCATGCATATGAGCTAGTCGGCAGATATTTTGAACTCTCCACGCCTTTCTTTCAATTCCTCCACCGTGGCACAGTGGCGGCCTTTGTCGAAGCACTTTACCATCAAGGAGGGGAGCACCGAACTGGTCAAGAAGCTATATCTCAAGGCCAGGTCACGCTCTTACTCATGATTTTTGCGGTCGCCACTTCTGATAAGGGCGAAGATAATGCTTCTGAGGAGTCCTTGAACTATAGACAAAGGTACTTGAAGTAAGCAACCTCCTTATCAGAACATCGCTAACTCCTCGAGTTCTGGTGAATTGTTCCTTGAAGCTGCGCAACGACGTTTACAAAGAGAATGTGGAGCACCAACCCTTGATTCAGTTCAGGCAAGGCTTGTTGAATGTCTCCATCTGTTATCAACCCGATACGCGAATGAAGTCTACTCGAAGTTCGGAACCACAGTGGCATTGATCATCACCCTAGGTCTACATCGTCGCAAGCGCCCCGGAGGTTACCGATCGGAAATGGGAGCTGTTGAGCACGAATGCCGCAAACGTACCTTCTGGGCTGCCTATGTTCTAGATAGGTATCTAAGCGTCATGGGTGGCCGGCCGCGGAATCTCCAAGATTTCGACACCGATCAGGACTTTCCAGCAAGAGTACATGACGATGAACTAACCTCCGAAAGCATAAAATTCCGAGATGATCAATTCGACTGTGAGATGGACGCTCCAATTATGCATATCAAGTACCCTCTTCCCTTGGCACCAGCGTAAAGGGAGCACATCCTAACTATGAGTTCAGACTTGCCCGAATCAGCGCCCAAAGCTCTGCTCAGGTCTACCCTCTAAAGCGGATAACTCAAGACGAAAGGCTCTTACAAGCCCAGCGAATCACTGCGGACCTTGCAGCATGGAGAGCGCAGCTGCCGCTGTTCCTCGGGATGATCCCCGCCTCAAGCCTCATCCCTAAGTTTCAACGACAATCCGTCACTTTACGTCTCGCACATGCCCACGCGGTTATTCACGCCAACAGGCCGTTCCTCTTGAGCAATTTTGCGAATCCATCGAATCCAACTGAGTTACCACAACAGGACGTCTGCTACATTCACGACTGTGTCACTGCAGCTCGCAGCATTGTCGATATTCTGGAAAACTTCGATGGCAACGGCATACCTTTTCATGCCTGGTGGTTCACCCAGTACGTCTCTTTCTGTGCCGTAGCGGTAATCTATATCTACACAATACAACAACACCAGAAGGTGATCTCGACGCCAACACCCCTTGTTTCGAATAAGACATCTTGTCAAACATCATTTCAAGCCTCAAGCAAAGAGAGAGATTATTTTGCGATCGCAGAGCACTGCCAAGAGAGGCTCGCAGCGGCTGCCAGAGATAATTCACCGGGGAAACGTTATGCTATCGTTTTGGAGGAGTTACGGCAGGAAACCTGCCGGCACCTTTCCACGTCAAGATCGCCGTGTGGCGAAGATGTGGATACTACTTCACGTAGAATAGAACAATCTTCTCAAGTATCCGGCATGCACGATAGTTGGATGGCCGAAACCGCCACAGATTTCACGCATATCTTTGATGATCTAGGGTCGATGGATTGGGTTGCACATTTGCACCACATGGTAAGCCCCTCGGACTTCTGGATTCTATCGCGTGGCAAAAAGAACTAAGCATAAGAGGGACAGCAGGAGATGCAGCCTCTCGATGCTCAGCGAGAGGAAAATGGCACAAACCTTTGAATCGAGATACCGAATGTGTGAGAGGCGTAAAAGCTACTAGGCAAGAATACTTGTCTGTCTTGGGAATGCAGTCTGTCGGCATACTTGCACCTATCGTCTGAAACAAAGAGCTTTATTTTGATATTGCGAATTCTGGCCCTTATTCCTCACATCCTCCATGCGATGCCCTGCACGATCAGCCCAACAACACCCACAACAAAAACACCCAACACAGTCCTACTCAACCTTGTCTCCTCCACGACCCGCCGAATCTTGGTGACTTCACCACCTGTTGCGAATGTGTCGACCTCAATCCCTGCCAATCCAAACGCATGATAATCTGCCCACTTCACAGTTGCCAAATTTTTCTGGTAATCAATGGCCGTACCTGCCCAGTTGTTCGTAATGATCCCGTCGGCCCGTTTCCACCAGCTGTTACAATTGGGATCTGCAAACGATGTCTTTTGCAATGCCATTTGCAGGTCATGCCAATATCTCAACGTCTTCTCCTCCGATGGACAGAGTGCCAGTTCCTCGCCTTTGCGTCTGGCCTGCAGAATTTTGTTGACAAGTTCTGAGATGTACTTTGTCTGGGCCTCGATGACTAGGATCAAAGAATTGTGGGAGAGATTCGTATTTGGACCATACAACATTCCAAAATTCGGAAGATCTGGCGCAGTCACACCTTTGTAGGCATAAGCAGCCTTTGCCCAGATCTCCTCTAACGGCCTACCGTTTCGCCCAGTGATTTTGATCGGTGACAAGAACGAAAACGTGTCAAATCCCGTCGCCAGCACGATCAAGTCGAACTTTTCCGCCGAGTCATGGCCTTCGAATCTGATTCCATCTGTTGTAAAGCGCACAATTTTGTGAGTCTCCAGCTTCACATTCTTCCGCAGAAGGGTAGGATAGTAGTCATCGCTAATCACCGTCCTTTTGCATCCGGGGTGGTAGTTAGGCGACAGCTTTTCCCAAAGATCAGGACGATTAGGCAGTTGTTCTCTCAGTAGATTGTAGTTCATGGACCTCATAAGATTAGCATAAGCAGAATCGGATTGAGTGACAGCGGAGTGGAAAGACTCCCGGAAATCCATCGCCTCTGCGCGCACTCGCCAGCGCGCTGGTGGGAAATATGCGAACAGCATTTGCATCCAGTCAGAGATTTTCTTATCATGGCGTGGGATAACCCAAGCCGGCGTTCTTTGACAGATGGTAAGTTGAGATGCCAGTTTCGCGACCTCCGGAGCAATCTGGGCAGTAGTTGCACCTGGGATGTGTCAGAGAAGTAGGCAGCAGTCGAATCTCACTCACCAGTCCCAATGATAGCAATTCGCTTTCCTTTCAAATCATAGCTCCAATCCCACCGGGCAGAATGCATGATTTTCCCTTGATAATCCGCGTACCCTTGGACATCAATCCCTTTGGGTTTATTGAGCTGGCCAGTTGCAGCAACCAGAAAGTCACTGGTTATTTTGTAGGAGGGAGTGAATTCAGAGTCTTTCCCTCCGCCTACAGTCACCGTAGTCTCCCATTGGAGGGTTTTATCGTTCCAGTCGGCCGCCTCCACGGTCGTGTGAAATCTCGTAAATTTGTAAAGACCATATTTTTGAGCAACATCGGTCAGGTAATCCTACATCCCCATCAGTATATCAGCCTTACATGTGAGGAAGGCACCCACCAAGATCTCTTCCTGACCGGGATACCGACGAGACCATTTGGGGTTCTGAGCAAATGAATACGAGTAAAGCACGCTGAAGACATCGCAACAACAGCCGGGGAATTTGTTATCTCTCCTGAATCCCATTAGTGCATTCTTTAATATGAGTCGAGGTAGTCACCATGTGCCGCCGAAACCACCTCCCTTTTCCAATATTATAATGTTCTTCATCTTCCGGTTGACTAAGAGATCAATGGCCATACATATTCCTGATATGCCGCCACCGACAATGACAACTGCGGCTCTTGTAAAGTTGTGATTACTGTGCAGCGTACCGGCCCATTCTTCGTAATAAGTTTCATTTTCTTGCGGATAATATGAAGGCAGATATCCATCCTCGGGTGACATTTTGAGGCTGTAGGGAATTACCGGGTATATTGACAGAAAAGCAGAAAAATAGTTCAGCAGCCAACATGGTATATAAGTCGATTGAGTTATCACCATTAATCGTAATGCACAAGTAAACGGAGGATCGATTGCGTTTGCTATTTCCGGTCCGCTGGCTCTGGACAAGTCCCTGGTGATACGCAATGCGGTAGCTCCTCCATCACCGCGCGATTCATTGCTCGGTATCTTGTAAGTTGCAGTTTGGCATTGATGCCGGAAAAGGAAGCAGTCCCAGCTGGTATTCGGTTTTTCGGGGAAATTGTCTCGAGTGTTCAGCATCCCAAAAGAACATTTCAAAACCTAGAACTCAGATATGATTGGCCAGGCGCATGCGAGTTGAAGGCCAATCGGTGCATTTAAATGATTTTCGCGACTATCCCCAGGTAAGTAGCTGGCTGGAAATCCGGCTCCCGCGATCTCCACCCTGCTGCGACGCTGTGAACAATGTGTCGATGCCTCGGGGGCCACACTGGAATGCTCCAGGACGCATGGTCAATGATAGATTGCCGCGTGCGCCCAACGGTGGTGCGAAAACAGCACCCCTGACATTGTCATCCATTGCATGCTTTGTAGTCTAGACAACTGCCATATTTGGTAGACCGCTGGAGCTGATAGTTGGTAGGAGAGCGAATTCGAACCGTCTCAGTTTCCTTTGTATCTTCCACAGCAACTACTAGATGCTCACAACCGCGGCATTGGCATAAAGAACGAAGATAATGTGATCTGATGATAGGTTTGTGTGCCTTCTTCCAAGAACGCTCCGACACCCCGACCGTATTTGACGTTCGGTAGTCCTGTGGGACTACCGGGAGCAGCCTTTTCCTTTGCCGTTCTCAAAGCCTTCAAAGGCAGGTAGACAGACGCTGTCTTTACGTCGGCACCCAAGGACGGGTCGTAGGGCCAGTTGACAAAGAAAATTTGAATCTTGCCAGTATCCCAATATTGATGATCCTCCCAGATGCGCAATCTTTGAGATTCTGGAACATCGCTCGCTTCTGTCGCATTGACACCATTTTCTTCAAGTTCCATCAGTGCATGTAAGATGGTGCTACCGGCACAGCCCTGCAGGTCGCCTTCAGTCCGGTTTGTCTGCGCTAGTAAATCGATAGCAGACCTTCGAATAGCTGGATCGCGGCATCTTCCAGCAACAAAGGCCAACGTATCGATCACACCAGAGTCGATTCCAAATGAGGTCCTCCTAGGAGCTCGAACAGGGTCGCCGATCGCGTCCTTGTATAGGTCAATAATCACTGCAAATTTGTCAATATGTCGGTCGTAGTTGCATTCTTCACTCGTCCCGAGGGTATCGAAAAGTATGGAGGCAACCAGTGCAGCGGCTCTAAGGAGCTTCTTAGATGTGATCAGGGCCTCGTATCGCTCAAACGCGGTGATTCCAGTGCCATCGAGAGCCGCATTCCAGTTTGCCAGCAAAGCCTGTGCCTGTGAGCGCTGTTCACCGAGTAAGAACGACGGGTCAATGTTTTCTTGTGCCCAGTCCACAATCTCTTCGAGCTTGTTGCGCGCCTCCAAGAGGTTTCCAAAGCAGTAAGGAATATCTGGCAGCGTCAGGCGATGCTCTATTTTGTTTCTTTTGATCGCCGCGCTGAGGGCCAAAGCGGAAGGGATGTCGACGATACTGCAGAACCTCATGCGCAACCGTTCGATGATGGGCCGGAGGAAGTTGTTGAGGACAGTCTTCTCGCTGTCAGAAAGCATGAGTTCGCCAGATCCTAGTCTTTTGTCGATATCCGTGGTCAAGCTATGTCCGGATTTGAGTAGCTGATACGCGGTATGACTGTCCTGCAGGTTCTGTAAACAAATGAAAATGACACAGGAGATCAGAGTTGCAATATCCGACATCGCAGTTTCATACGCCATTCGGGAAGCCTTGCTGCTTTGATGTAGAGCCAGTTCCTGCAAGTTAGAACGTTCGTCCGACTCTCGGTCTACCTCTGAGGATTCATGAAGCGCACCGAGAGCAACTACTCCGTGAAGTATAGATCGATTCATGTGACATGCTTGAAGGATAAGTTTGTTCCAGAATGTTGCGTCCCTCCAGCCGGACCACTCCGGGGCCGTTCTCTGGCAGAAGAAGACCAGACTGCGCAACTCTTGAGGTTCAAGTCCTGGGAACGTGCTCACGGCCTGCAAAATGCGGTTTGAATAAGTGTTTGGGGATCGGATGGTTGGAGATAGAGAAGCCGAGAGTAAAGAACGATGGTAGTCAGGACTATGAACTTGTACATTTGTATCCAGCCGAAGGTCTGGTTGTCTTGGCGCGACAGGTGTCGATTCAAGCTTTGAGTGTTCCTTTCGTTTGTTTTGTTGAAGGGATCTGTCAACTGTCGGTGTGGATTTGGCGGCTGTATCTTGGGCAGCGGCTCTGGCTCTCAGCTGTCTTTCGTGCTGGACATGTTTGCGAATCTGCCTGGTTTCGGCTTTTGAGCTCCGTGAAAGAACGGCGGAGCCGCTGTCTTTATTAATCCAGAGGAGGGATTCCGGCATGCTGCTCACCAAGTTGCCACGGCAAAGGTTGGAATTGGTAGATATTGAGTGCTGGCCCCACGAGAAGGCAGGCGAATTGAAGGGACGAGCAATATCAAGAAGCGATAGAACTTGGATTGTGGAAGACGGTCAACTGCTGTAACAGGATGCTGGTCACCAGCGGCATTAATGTCATTGTCGTATTGCAATGAAGCAGGCCTTGTACCTCTTTTCTGACCGGTTAGGCCGCCCTGGGAATTGTCAATGGGTACCAAACAGGTTGAACAACCGAGAGGTTTACTTGTATCCGGACCTCGGAGGCAGGATCGACCGTTTCGAATTGGTTCCCACAGACCATGGCTTTGCCAAATGCCAGGGTGCTTGGGGTTGTGATGATGGGGTGCATTCTTTTGTAAGGGAAAGTTTGTGGGCACTCAAGCTGTTGATGAGTGGGATGAACCTCCTCGCCTGTAGGGGACCAAGAGAATTGGTGGACGCAGACACCGGAACTACGGCCATCTGCAGCCTAGTTGGTCGGCTAGACACAACCCTTCGGCTTGCTGTTGTTGTTTGTCGCCTATCGCGGAATAATGCCTCCAGAGTGTGGGGCCAGTGCGACTTGCTACGAAGCTGGGAATGCCCAGCAGGCCAGCTAGGCCAGACTCTTGACAAATTCAGCTTGGTGTTGCAGCTGCTGGAGGGCGTTGCACATTGCAAAAGGGCTCAGCTAGACGCTCCCTGCACTCTTGTGACTCGTGAGACAAACTAGCTACACTTCCGACTTAATCTCTGTCGCCTCCATCTCCTTCTCCTTTCCCTCACTACTGCTGTGTGCAGATTGGCCGTCAAGAATCTCTGCACCTTCACCGGTATAATGCACATTGATACGAGGCCCCTTGAACCACTTTCGGCCGTCGATTGCGTACCACAACATGGCCAAAAACATAGAGCCCCCATAAATGAGACAGGTCCAGTTCATCGTCAATAGATTTAGGTCTTTGCCCTTTACCGCTGGGAAGCAGAGAGCCGGAACAATCAGCAACCACCAACCAAAGGCAACTGCTCCTAGCGGCTTCGAGTATCTTCCAAGATTCCAAGGTCCTATAGAATACTAAGTTAGCAATTGATGATATGATTTTACGGGCCATCTTACCTGGTTTGAATCTGCCGTGGTCGAAGAATAACTTCAACGCCACAGGCGTCGTGAATGCCGTATACTGGGCAATGGCACCAATGCTGAATACGGCGCCAATAGCAACAGGACTGGCGAACATCAACAGCCCGAGCAAGGCTGCAACTAATAGAACGCCCCAGGTCGCATAAACTGGTGTCCTGGTCTTCGGGTGGATCTGACTCCACCACCTGGATCCCACGATAGCGCCGTCCCGAGAATAGGCGAAGATCACACGAGTCGCAGTCACAGTGCAACCAACTCCGACGAAAAACTGAGCAATGATGTTGAGAGAGAACATGGTAAGGCCCGCCTTTTTGCCCAAAACCTGTAGACATAAGCTTCCGAATGGTTGTCCATATTGGCCAGCAACGACGTCGGTGATATCTTGGACGCAATAGACGATGACCAACATTATGGCAAACCCAAGACACAGACCTGACTGCGCCGTCATAGCAATGGCTCTGGGGGAAGCAATGTTGGCATTACTGCATTCCTCTGAGAGATGGAATGGGGCGTCATAGCCAGACAGAGTCCAGATTGTGGTGAGAAAGCCCATGATGGTGGACCAGCCAATTGGCCACTCGGTGCCGTTGGGGAAACTTGTCCAGACGTAGTGACTGTGGTTTGTCTTTGGGTGGTTGATCGAACCTACTGGGAACCATATGACGAAGATAAGTATGACAATGAGATTCCATATTGTTCCAATTTTGTTGACCCAGCCGATGAACCAGGTTGACTGCATTGTGATGAGACCATTGATGACGAGGATGGCGAGCAATGTTAGGTATATGTGCCATGTCTGCGGCTCGTAGTCGGGATAAGCAATCATGCCACAGGTGACCAACATGGAGGCCAGAGCATAGTTGACGGAGCACGGGCCAGTGACAAAGCCGCAGAAATTGGACCAGCCAACAAACCAGGACGCTAGAGGACCCCATCCGTCGGGCGCAAGAACGGCGGAGGCGTAGTAAAGACCGCCAGCGGTGGGCATGCTTGAACACAATTCGGCCATGGTGTAGGCGGTGGCCTGGATGAAAAGCGACGCAATGAGCCATCCCCAAATGGCGCCACCCGTTCCCGAATAGCCCAAGCTGTAACCAATCGTAGATGCAATAGAAGGTAAAAGGCCTAGGACCGAGAATGACACCGAGAATGATTCCCATATTGTGAAATCTCTGATAATCAATCAGCAGGGTGGCCTCCGGGAAAAGCCTTAGGCGCAGACCTCTTGAATTCTTGTTTATAACCCAAGGCGCCCAAAGTCACCTCGTCATGGCTGGCCCCTTCTTCCAAGACGGCATGAGTGCCGCGATTGGCGAGGACGGATGTCACGCCAACAGCGCTCTCGTCGATGACAGTCACGGATTGCTTGCGAGAAGCCTCCATTCTCGTAGAAGCCCACAGGTTGGTAAATCACGATAGCTTCGACCGTGGAAATCGAATGCATATCGTGGAGGGAACGAGCAGGTCTTTATTGCCTTTCCCATCCAAGTGTCGGTCATCATCGTTGGTTCTTAGCGAAGCATGCACGATAAGATGGTCTCCACCGGTGGCCCAATATCCTGGGAAGAGCACTACCGAGATAACTGGCGACGAATCAAGCTAGCTTGCCATCAGAACGCAGGGACACCATCTCTCGAACGAGCAGGAGCATGTTAAGGCCAAGGCCCTGTTGGTAATGAACGACACCCGGGAGACGGCCGCTCTAACTCCAGATATTCGCGGTCGGATGATAGGTGGAATGCCAATAGGAGCTCGAGTGCCTGTGCTGGCCTTATCAGTGCCTTGCTCCTGGATTCGATGTCTAGTGGCGTTGTCATGGCCAATAGCTGGCGTCAAGAGATGGTTCACCAGCGGGCAAGGGTGTCACTCGACAGACCCTGGAGACCCTGGAAACCCTGGCAGAGTCAAAAAAAAGGATCTTGGGATCTTGATTTGCTGAGACAGAGGGAGAAAGATAGGCATGCAGAGTAGCGTTGGATGGTATTAAGCTTGTCAAACCGATTTCCTTAGCAAACAGCAATGCAAGCAGAGCGTCTCGGAAACTCTTCGACTTTCTGGGGACGCCTTATCAATGGTTTGACAAAGATCGGGCTAGTACACGTGGCATTGTCAACGTGACAATTTCCGTGCTCGATCTCTCGAATCGATTCCACATGTGCAAGATAAAACATGCACGAGAAGGTCGCCGTTGGTCGGTACAAATATCGTTGCGGCGGGATTTATCCGGCCAGAGCGCCAGAGCGCCAGAGCGTTTCAACAACGCGGGGAAGGAAAAAACGCTACGCAATAAAACAAATAAGTTGGGGACCATCTCGTCTCGCAACATAGGTGCTTCACAGGTCGCCAGTTATTCGAAACATCGTGGAGTGCCATTTTGAAAATCCCGGAATAGATATGGTTTGAAATATTCGGCTGTACGTAGGACCGCCAAAGGGTAGAGGATGAAGGAGCAGGATAAGTGAGGGCGACTCATCGCAAATCAAGAGAATAGGAGGTTTGTGTAAAGGGGTAGCTAGCAGAAGGTGGCAGAAAGACCACCAACGCAAGCCATCGACGATTAGATGGACAGAGGACAGAGTCGTGATGGAGATCAGCGATTATGCTCCTGCAAGAATCGGCGGCCTACAGTATCTGGAAACCCAGAGTGCCGTATGTACTCCGTAGAAGTTAAACGAGGGCCACGATGTATGCCTCAAGTCGTGGAAAGGAATATTTTCTTGGAGACGCAATGATATTGCGGTGATGAAAAAGTACGAGGCACAAGGTAGTCAGGCAGATGCCCCGTACATAGCAATTGCTACGAGGTACGTAGCCTCAATCACGGGTTTGGCTGTTGCAGCTCCTGCAGGACTAGAAGATCTGAGACAAAGGGGCATGTACCTCTGAAACAGGTCGAAGGTTGGATTGGGCCACGGTGGATTCTGGAGAAAGGAGTTCTGCATCTGCGACTAATTGAGCTTCACAGTTACAGCGCGACTGCGGGTCAGCACCAGTGACAAGGAATAGAAGTTTGGCATATGATGCACGCCAGAGAGGACGCGCAAGTCTGTACTCAGCACTCGGTACTCCGTGCTCCGTACCACGTACCCCGTTCTATGAGCCACGGTACCGCAGGCTGAGGAGCAAATCTGGTGGCGAAAAAGAAAAATCTACCAGTACCTACCGGCCTGTATATTAGTATGGCATCATCATCGCTGACAAGGACACCAAGGAGTGGTTGGGTGCTGATCTGACCCGGGTGAATATCGATAACGAACACCAAAGCCCTAGCAACGACCCTTGGGCAGGCCTGGTAAGCCCCCCAAAAAGCTGGTCCAGACCCCAAATGTCCAAGGCATCACTTTGGGACGGCCCTCCCCCTGTCTTCCTGGTGGGCTTATGCGGGTTTGTTCCAGGGCCATGATGTTGAGCGGGTCCATGCCAGCCAACCTTTTTCCTCGTTAGCTAACGCCCACAGCGCTAACACAAGCCACAGCTGCGTCAGTGGTTGGTAGATCTCACTTTCGCATGTCCCTTGTCGACTATTCAGCTCCTCCAGGTTTCTTCCCTAACTTCCTGTCTACACTTCGACTTCTCATCACTGCCGCTTCCACGTTCTCAGATTTCACGCCGATACCTCGACTCGAACGTGGCGCCTGGGCCACAGTCCGAATTTCCCCAGTCATACCCAACCAGTACCTCGATCCCTCACCCACGACTTTGCCTGCGCCCTCGGACGAAAGCCAACCTTCACGCAGGCTGATAAACGATACCCCTGGAGAATCTTGACCAGCCTTACCTTCGCAAACCTCATATTACCCTCAATACACCACTGCACTTTGAAGCATCTTAGGAAATTTCGCAGCCTCCTATACGACCCTCACGATAGAATTTTACCAGTGCCCGATGGCCACGAAGTCGTAGCGTCATCCTGCCTCGGTAGCCGCTTTGTGCGGTTCTTTCGACCGCATCCCTCCGTAACATGGAAAATGTACCTCCGCAGGTATGGGCAGTCGCTCACACGTTGATCGCCCGCAATGAAACGACCAACTCAACCTCCACAAACAATGCCAACACAGCTAGCCGTCCGCCAGTCTACAAGGCAATCGGTCTCAGTCTCGCCGTGGCCTCAGGGCTCTTCATTGGGACCTCTTTTGTGCTGAAAAAGACTGGACTGCTTAAAGCGAATGCCAAATACAACGAGGAAGCAGGAGAGGGCTATGGCTACCTGAAGAATTTCTATTGGTGGGGAGGCATGACACTGATGATTGTGGGCGAAATCTGTAACTTCGTCGCCTATGCCTTCGTTGATGCCATCCTCGTGACACCGCTCGGTGCGCTAAGCGTTGTGGTCACGACCATTCTATCGGCCATCTTTCTCAAGGAGCGCCTGAGCTTTGTCGGTAAGGTTGGCTGTTTCAATTGCATCGTTGGTAGCATCGTCATCGTCCTCAACGCTCCCGAGCAAAGCGCCGTTGCCAATATTCAAGAAATGCAGCACTTCGTCATCGCACCCGGCTTTCTCAGCTATGCCGGTGTTGTGATCTTGGCATGTGTATTTATCGCCTTGTGGGCAGGGCCACGCTACGGCAAGAAAAGCATGTTGGTCTATCTCAGTATTTGCAGCCTGATCGGTGGTTTGAGTGTCGTGGCAACCCAGGGTTTAGGGAGTGCAGTCGTGGCCCAAGCCGGTGGAAAACCTCAATTCAATCAATGGTTTCTCTACGTTCTGCTGGTCTTTGTGGTTGCGACACTCCTGACTGAAATCATTTACCTAAATGTAAGTACGCATCCTCCCAAACACTGTTCGCCGCCTGACAACTCCTAGAAAGCATTGAATATTTTCAACGCCGCCCTCGTCACCCCGACCTACTATGTCATCTTCACCAGCGCCACAATCATTACTTCTGCGATCCTTTTCCGGGGCTTCAAGGGCACAGCCGTATCCATCACGACTGTGATCATGGGCTTCTTCCAAATATGCGCCGGCGTTGTCCTCCTACAAATGTCCAAATCCGCAAAAGACGTTCCAGACGCGGCCGTTTTCAAGGGTGATCTCAACCAAGTCAGAGAGATTGCAGAGGTTGAGCAACCAGAAACCGAGCCTAAAGCCGATGCTATTCGTGGCACCGCGGCTTTGATCAGGAGAATCTCTGTCTCTCGGCAGAAGATGGAGCAAGAGGAAGCTAGACGGCTGCGCGAAGACAAACTTAAGGATCAACTCGAGCCGCTTCGTGAGAATGAGATTGTGGAATGGGATGGCCTCCGCCGCCGAAAAACAGTTATCGGCGAACCTGGGGCAGTTGTGCGGAGAAAAACAGTTCATCCACCGCTAGGAATGTCGCATATTCCAGATCCCAATCAGGAAGAGGCCGAGCACGAACCGGGATTTTTTGAAACTCTGCGAAACCGTGCACAGAGCGTAATCCGTCACCCCAGTCCCCGGCATCATGCAACCATGCCGGAAGATTCTCTACGGAGTCCAATACATCCCGTTGCGTTGACAGACATCAAGGTTGTCTCATCCAAAGCCGAGTCACCTATTGTCCCCTACGGCCCTGGAAGCCTCGAAGATGCCCAAGAACGGATTTATGGACTCCCTCCAGGGCAGCTAAAAGAACAGGCCATCACCATCGCGGCCCAACCCTTGCACCGTTCCAAACCCCTGCCCGCCAAGCCGTCACCATCACCTTCACTCAAAGCAGCGCACGAAGCAAGACGGCAATTCTCTTTCACCAACTTCCTTCGACCAGGCTCACGCACCCCCGACGTAGATCCCATGCCTCCACGGCCAAATCTTTCGCACCGGACCAGCAGCCATGAACAGAGACGTGCAATCAAGAACGCATCAGAGGAGGAAAGACTGGGACTTGTCAAGGGTGATTCTCACGTTGCATTGCTCGAGCATGAATCGTCTCGCTCACCTCAGCATCAATCTCAACCCTTCTCTTATGCCCACCCTAGTTCTCATTCTCAGACCAGCTCTACTTCAAGCGTTGATGATTATTATCCTTATCAATACCCTTCTCCTCCTCAACATTCTCTGTCATATTCTGACGAGGTTGATGGTTGGCAGATGATGAGCACGGCGAGTCCGCCGAACGAGACGAACCGAGCTTCGACACCGCCGCCACCAGCGACGGCAAGCGGCCGGCGACGGCCCAGTCCCCCGAGAATATATCATCCCCCACCTTTGCTCACGAGGAATTCGCCTCCAATCGACAACGAGGAACGCCCGATTCCAGGGACGATGGTGGGCGGAGGGTTGGCACAGGGCAGAGCCATGCCAGCAGCGTCAGGCCATTCCCCGAATTCATCGACGAGCCCACCGAGGAGCGCGACTCGCCATCAAGACACTGGTTTGCACAGGATAGGTGGAGAAGGTCACCTAGCTCGAGTTTCCGAGGATGCAAGAGTGAATAATGCCTACAATTACGAAGCGGCCCAGACAGAGAGCATCGAGGCCGAGGCCAACCGAAGACGATTTGAGGAGCAGAGCAAAAGGGAAAGAGAAGAGAGGCGGTTGAGAGCCACCGGACGCCGGCAGAGCTGGAAGCCTGTCGGTCCTGAGGGAGGCAGTTTCATCTAGAAGTCGGAGTGTTGTTTGGATTACGCAGCTGGGCCTGTTTTGGTAGCAACGAAATACCCACGACGTTTGGCACGCATGGAAATGGACCTTTATGACCAATAGAAGAGAGGCATTGGCCAGTCTAGCTCAAACAGCTGGACCGCAATCTCAAGTCATTGTACATGTAGATACTACTCAGTAGGCTGAATACAGTACTTGTCCTACTAGCAAAACTGCCTTCGCTACCTCTATTACGCCGCCCGATGAAGCCTCCTAGCTCCACGTGCGATTCATTCTGATGCCAGTCTGCCACTTCTTCCATCAAATGGCGCCGCACGGGGTACTCGTAGGTCAACGTCATAGACTGTGGCGGTGCACGCGCCCGCAAGAGATGCGCCTGCCACCGACCTGGTGCTGCCAGCCCACGATGATCGTTGCCGGCCAGTGTTAATTCCGAGTATCCGTAGATTCGGCCTGCCCGGACGAAGAACTGGACAGACAAAGTTCACGCCACTAAATAATGCATTGACAGCCTGCTCTGCCTCTTGTTGTTCTTTTTTCGGATCGGGAGCAGGCACTCCTGGCCTGCATTTACATGTGTCAGCGACGCTGGACCACCCGAAATGGTTGAATCTCCCGCATCCGAAGCATCCCAAGACCAAGAGTCGGCCGACGAGTCGACTGCGGCGCATCCGCCTGTCAAAGCGCCTGCGGTCAAGGACAAGGAATGTCAATACTGTCACCAGCAGTTCACCTCCTCGTCGCTCGGCCGCCATCTCGACCAATTCATCTCTAAAAAGAAACCCGATGGGATCCATGATGTCGAAGAGATACGGAGGTTACGAGGAGGCATCACGCGCCGCACAGCGAGAAGCAGCAAGCGGGACAAGGACAAGAATGAGCATGAAGATGCTCCCTCATCACAGGCATCTCCAGGCCCCAGTATCGGTCCCCAACCAGGCACTCTCATCTCGTCTGCTGTTGAACTCAACCGCATTCCTCCCGGTGGCATGCATGTGCGCCTGAACAGGCTCAATTGGCAGGCTACGGGCGTCATTACAGATCCTACCACCCTCGACTCGCCCGCCACGACTGCTGCTGCTGCCGCCCCTCCTACTCCCGCCATCGTCTCTAGTCCATCTGGGACCAAGCGCAGTTTCTCTGTCTATGCCCAAGACCTCAATACCACCAGCAATGCCGAAACTACTCGCGCTCTCGAACTTGCCCTGCGCGAAGTCCTCGACTCTCTCCGTGCGGCCACAAAGCATGCCTCTCCCAAACCCTCTCCCTTTAAATTCGACGTCCAGTCACAGACATTTCCCTCTCTATGCCTAAAGATCTTGCCTGCGCCAGCCACCTTGTTCCAAGCTTCTCCTTTCTCGACACCGCAGTCCATCCCGATCAACCCACCCGGTCCTGATCAACTCGCCCCTCTGCGCCAATTGCTGACCTCTACCATCGATCACTGGAAATGGCAGACACTGCGACTTGCGCAACCCACGACTTCCAATATTGCGGAAGAGGCCGACTTTCTCACACGAAGCGCGGCGCAATGGACCGAATCGACCCTTTCACATCTTGATACAAGCTATCAGAATTGGATGGCGCATCCGATTGAGATTCGCAATCTACTGTGGCAGGTGGAATTGCTGAGGTCGTACAATTCGGAGCAACAAAAAGTGCAGGAGATGGAAGAAAGGCTAGAGAGGTTACAGCAAGAGGCAAATCAGTTACAGCAACAGGTGGAATACCTCTCTCGATGTCAGTGGCCACGTGAGATGGCGCTGTGGCCGCCCGAGCGTCGGACGTTTGGGGCTTCTATGCGCGAAGAGTTGCGACTAATGACCCTGAATAAAGTGCCCGCTGGATCAGGCGGACCCGAGGCGCCCGAAGAGATGGTGACTTTGCCCACGGATAACATCAAAACGAGGCAGGGTGACAAGTGGGACTTTGATAAGTTGGTCAATAAGTGGAAAGCACATGTCAAAGAAGACAAGAATCGGCGTATGCCACAATCTCTGGTATCCATGGACGGTAACGGCGGCGCTGCGGGAGGGGCACCGAGCGTGAAAATGGCAGAGCTTAAGAAAACACAGAGCGAACCGGGGATGAATGGGTTGTCGAATGGGCAGTCGCCGACCAGTGCGGACGAAAGGCGGAAGAGTATGAGAAATCCAAAGGCCAATATCAGCATCATATCGGACTTATAAATGAAAGTAGAGTGAGGGGAAATGCAACCAGCCAAGATGATATTGTATTCCAACCCCGAGAATATGCATATTCGTGTCCAAACTAACATGCATATATGTCTGTCCGTCAACGCCATGGCAAAAAGGGGTCATCATCTCATGTCAGACCCATATTGTACGTTTTAAAACCAAGTATCCCGCCCATCTTCTGAACGTAACATCCCAGAAATCGACCTTGCTTTCGCCGAAACCTTGTTCTCAAGATCGTTGTCGTCAAGTTGGAAACGTACACGCATCTGGACGCGTACAGCCCCTGAGAGTGTTATTCCTCGTCTTCTCCCTCCTCTACCTCTTTCTCTCGTTTCGCGAACAGGCTGACTCGATTTTGGATCGCATAAATAGCGTAACCCACAATGGCCAGCACCACGAATAGAATGATCACAATGATCGCTATTACGTAGTTCCTTTGCACCATGGTTCCGATCGATTGGAGGTTGTGCAGAGGATGAAGAAGGCTGTAGTCGAAAGCTGTTCGCGCTTCCGGCTATCTGGTCGTGTGAGATCAGTTCGCTCCGAGTCCGCAAGTGAATTAAAGTGAATGTGCGAAATCGAGCAGGAGGAGGTGGACTAAGCTGAGGTCCACAAAGGAGTGAAGCGCTGTCGGGAAGTCTTCTTATGGTAACCGGTTCCGATTGATAGATTCGAGGAGAGATCGCTCGTGGCGAGGCAGGAGGTGATGCAAAGGGTAGAGAGGAACCACAACTAAAAGCAGAAACAACAGTTTGCGGCGCCGTGGGATCAATCTTGAGAGGGTTTGTACAGAATGGCCTCAAGACAAAGTCAGAGAGTCTATGTCGGGAATGATGTCAACAGACTAGTGGTGTTGACTTCCTGTGGCTTCGTGTTTGCGTTGCAATAGAAGGCTGCTGAGGAAGATGAAATGTTACAAAGAATTTTAAACATCGAATGGACTACATGTAGTTATCCGCGAGCACGAAGCCCAGCCTCGCAGATGCTCTGAACTCAGTATGGTGATGGCTGGTTGCGAAGATGTGGTGGTTGGGAGAAGGTAAAGTGGCAGGGTAGTCCACATTGCGAGGCTGGTTTCAACTACTCCACATTTGGAAATCGTGAGGCTGGCCTACCCAGTACCCCGCTGTAAAACGGAAAAACAAGGATTATCACGTGATTTTACCAATTGAGCCAATGAAAGTCTTAACATCCCTGGGTCAGCCTTCGGAAAGAGCCCCACCATTGCTAAAGCGTCGCACGAGAAGGCTGCATTCTGGTCCATACGTCCAAGGACCTCGCACAGATTGTCGAATATACTTCCACGTTACCAAGCACAGAGCATTCAAATCGAGTCGGTCATAGACATAGTCAACTGAGCCGAGGACTATTAGGTGCGGCGAAGAATACGCGCATCGGCAACAATAGAATCCTGGTCCTCTTGTTCGTCCGAACTGATTTGCATATACCTCGTATGGAGCACTATACACTAATGCCTCAGTCCCATGGGGATGCCGGGACCGACCGTCTTCCAAGGTTTGATCTTGTGGAACAGCTTTCTGCCCCATCACATTATTTATTTTTTAGGAGACGAGAAACCACCCAAGCTCTGACCACTGACCCGCATGTCCAATGACGTTGGCATTCTTCGCCCTTAATTCCTCTGGCGACAGAAAGGGTAATTCTGGCTTTAAGCTTCCAGTGACTGCAAGCGAGTAGCCGTGGACATGCAAATTGGACTAAGCCCTAGTTAACATAGTAGAACGGTTGCACGCCCTGCGCATCTAAGCGGCCGGGGCAATAGAGACAAGCACACTTTTCTGGAGTTTTAGATCGATAAATTTCACCGGATCCTCGTGCAGACTCATATTCTTGCATGAACTCAAGGAAGACAGCGGATGGCTCGTCTCTCATCATCCAGCCGGGTCTCTCGTCTCTCTCTGGCCCTCCGTATGCATTTGAATCTCTGTTGTGCCTCGAAAATGAATATCTTGAGTCTATCTCAACAAATATGACTGGGTGTGTCTCCCAAATCTTTCTTCGTCTTTGTCGCTGCAATTTACTGTTTTTGCACACCTTGGAGCCAGTTATTATTCTCGTGTCCTGCACCTATCCTTTGTCCTGCAACCAGTGAGACCTTCACTCCATTGTTACATGCTAGCCTTCCCACATGATACCCAGATCCATTCTGCTCCGGTCTGTCTCATTGTTTTGCAACACGACAAAGAACAGTACCATGCTGCTGTATCACAGATTTCTCCCGAATCCGCCTTGTCCTCCACTCAACAGTCCGACAGACTCATACACCGATGCTTGCGCCTGCTGGCCACACTATCCTATGAGCACCGCTAAGCAGAACAGCAGAATGTCGAGCCGAAGGCTTGACACGTCTTGCGTCAGTTTTGCATCGGATAAGGGAGTGCGATCGCCGAGGACCCCAACATATATACCAGATTCTCTATCAACTAGCTCACTGCCACCTTTCGATCACACTAGGTACTTTGCTGAACATACCCTTGAAGGCGATAACCGACAGCCGATGCCTCCTGCACCTCAGCAACAGCCCGTGCCATGGACATGGATTTGCCACTTGTGTCATTCACAATATCCCCTTGGCGTAACGCGCCGATGCTTGGTTGACGGACACTACTACTGTTCAGGGCAGACCGACTGGCCCAGCCTGAAGAAAAAGAAAAAGCTCAGGGCATGTTCGAGTGAATTTGACTACGCGGCATGGAAAACCTGGGGAGCATGGCGCCGAGGAATTCTCAAAATCGTCCAGAATGAGAAGGTCTCGAAGGGCTGCGAGTACTGTGACTTTCCAAGTCAGTGTCGGTATCCTGTTGATTCACACCCGCTTGGTGATGCAGCGGCGGCCCTGGTGCATCCAAACGCCTCTGTTAGCCAAGAATTGCGCGAATTAGGAGCGAAGATCGACGAACGCAGAGTAACAAGTCAAGGTGGATCGAAAGCCAATGAGAATGTCCGGTTTGGCCAAATATTGGAGAACATCTGCCCCGGTACGAAGTCACAGACACCGGGTTCACAAAAGCTGTCCAATACAACACAGCAAAACAAGAGTATGTAAAGGAGCAAGAAAAAACGTTCAGTCAAAGGTCCGAACCCTTCATTGGACGAAGAAGCGGCTGGAGAAGAGAAAAAGTTGCGCGAATTGGTCGGACCAGATCTGTGGTCGTGCTTGGAAGACGTTGGTTTGGACAACTCGCGGATTGAGTAAAGGCTCGCGGCGTTGATTTTGTATAGTGCAAGAAGGTTCTTTGTAAAATGGTATTGGTGCATCAGCTCTCGTGGCGTACTCCATCTATTTCCCAACCAAGCTGCCAACATACTCTGCAATCGCCAACATCTTCTCTTCCGTAAATCTTCGTCCGACAAGCTGCAAACTAACGTGAGCGCCATCATACAAGTCGGTATCATAAGCTTCGAAAGCCTCCTTGTCTTGGTCGTTGATTGGTGTGTATCCTTCCGCATACTTATCAATCTTTTTGTCTGCAATCGTGACCGGTACAACAACACTTGTGTAGTCAAGCCCATTCACAAATACACTATATCCGTAATACTTGTACAATTGGGGTCTCGCAGCCGCGTATGGCGCAAGAGGACAAATGAAACCATCCACAGGTTGGCCCGTCTGTGTCAGCTGGGCCGTGCTATTCCAATAATCCAAGTATTGTTTCTGGTATTTGCGCTTCTCAACGTTGTTGGCAGCGATTTGTGATGCCGTCATTTCCTGCGTCGGCCCGTCGCCGTAGCTCATTTTGATTTGAGGAGACATGGGCTCACCAGCAAGTCCAAAGGCTCCGTGCACGTCCTTGCCGCCATCATATGCCCATGTCTTGAATGCAATATCCAAGATTTTCTTGTGCGAGGGTGGTTTCCACTCAATGATCTGGTGTCCCGCCTTAGTAAGAGCCTCGGCTAGCATAGATACTGCTCGGGAAACGGGCGGCTGAGGATTCACGATACCATCCGATTTCAGCACACCGAAGCTGAGTTGCCCTTTCTGAGAAGAAGATTGGACAATATCGCGAATTGCTTGTTCTTGGGCATCACGCCACGGCATGTCGACCACCAAAGGATCGTGAAGCCATGGCTTTTCCGAGAGGATAGCTTTTGTGAGTAGTCTGACAGCTCGAGCGGTAGTGGCCAGTGGACCGACAACGGACAAGACACTATTCTGCCCATCCATGCTGTTGGCCATTCCTTCATAGGGCAGCCTCCCAAATGACGGTCGAATACCGTAAAGCCCATTGAACGCTGCAGGAATGCGGATTGATCCCCCGATGTCGGTCCCGAATCCGCCGGGCGATCCCCTCAACGAAATCAACGCTCCCTCGCCCCCAGAACTGCCACCAGAACAGAGGTAGCGGTTCTTGGGATTCCAAGTATAGCCAATAATGTTGTTGACAGTCTCTCCAGTCATCAACGAATGTGGGACACTGGTCTTACAATAAAGCACAGCACCTAGAGCCCTGAGCTCTCTCACCATTTCACTTTCATACTGGCCCTTGCGTGGATCATCAACTTTGCCTTCAAAAGTTCCTATCCAGCCGACGTATCCCATCGAAGTCTCGACATTCTTGACATGGAACTGATCTTTCAGCGACACGGGTACTCCATGGAGCGGGCCGATGGGTTTTTTGTTCTTTGCGAAGTACTCGTCAAGGGCTTTGGCAGACTCTAGGGCAGCATCAAAGAAAGTCTCATGCAGGCAGTTCACCAATTGATGAGCCAAAGAGGCTCTGTGACAGAATGCTTGGGTGACATCAACCGCGGACCATTCACCGGCAGCGACCTTTTCGGCGATGCCAACAGCATCGGTTTCTGTGATTGTGATCTCTTTCTCATCGAGGAATTGCTGAATGTAGGATCCAGTAACGTCTTTTTGCTCTTCCGGGCTGGGGATCTTTTGGACTCGCCATTTCTCGGGGATGGAGTTCAGGATAGCATCTCGCTTTGCCTTTGCAAGCGTTTCCCAGTCGGCAACCATGGTGGCGGATGGAAATGAGGTAAGTGTCAATCTGTCAATGTCCTTTACAAGGAAAAGCACGAACTGTCCGAGAAACGGCTTCCGTGTTGTACCCCTCGCGAGATGTTTCAGTTATATGAGGGGGTACCACGAGTCATTGCTGCTTGGAGACGCACATCTCCACCACTAATTGGTGCGGAGATTAGGACAAATTGATAATGAAGACAAAACTTCTCCTGCCTGTTTGGGCATGATTCCATCACTCCGAGTTGGCGGTACTCATCCTTTTCGATCTGCGTCTAAAGTCAAAAGGGTGGAATTCATTCAATCAACTGACGGACATTGAGGTTGATCCGTTTCTTGCTCATCCATCCTCGCCAGTGCTGATATGGTCCTCGCTGCGCAATATCTGGCCAATCCTGCAGCCATGCTGGACATGTGCCTGGCAGAATTTTTGGCACGCCATGCCAGGCATATCTGGATTTTCCAGACATGACAATAGCATCCCCGGACCTCAACCGAATGGCAGCAGCGTTGATGCTATCTTCATTCCCAACAAGAAAGATAGCATCGCACCCAAAGCTGATGCTAATGAGACTGTTATCGGACGCCTCACTGATGTCTCGATGCACACTCAACGTATCTCCGGGGCTGTAGAAATTGACAATGGCGGCCTGGGCGTCAACGGTAGGAAATATCTTTTTCAAAAGTGCAGCTATGTCGTCAGGGAAAGGCGGCGGTTCGCTGTCGGGATAGATCTTGTTCGTCCAGTCGTACTGACCCCCCAGAGTCACCCATCGCAATTTGGACCCAAGCATCTGTGCTGATGTGATGGGTTTGTGGATTGCCGGATCCTTCGGGTAGATCACCATGTCTAGGTCTGCAGCGAAGAAGGAGGAAGGAGACGGATCATCAACTTTTGGAGGGTAGGAGATATGATGGTGGTGGTTAAGATTAGTCTTGTGGGCGGGATTAGAGAGATCACGATGAAGTAGCCTGTCTAACAAAGCGACTTGAAGCCGAGGAGGTAAGAGGCAAGGAAATACGCGTAGGCCTACCCAATGTCAGCTGCGCTGTGAGATAGCAGACAGCAGTGCGAGCGAACCAGGTATTCCGTTGACCTCGAAGGCTGCTCGTGCCGGTAATGTAACGTCTTGAAGACTGAGTGTCGCGTCGTCCGTGGCATTGTCGAGGAAACCCTCTGTCCAGATGTCGAAGTCACTCTGTCGAAGAATATCAGACTCCGGTAGTGCTGACACTCTATTCACGTCCGGGTCTTGTGGGTCGATGATGCCCTGATCGGCTTCAATTTCTGCTGCAGGCCGTTTCCGCCATCGTTTGAAAAGCTCTCGCATATATTCGGGGGGTCTAGCCTGGGTATCATGCATCATCAATACGAGGGCAATCCTGATACTTTCCTAAAGTCGGAATGGGCAATCTGTCTGTCTCGGTCAAAATAGACAGTAAACCGGGAAAAGGGGAATACGAAGGTAGAATCTCTGCTGGCGAAATAATCGCAGGGTTGCCAGGATGCTAGGATGAGTATATTAAAAACTGTCGTGAGCTTGCCTCCTTCGGGACGTGGGTGATGCCGCCCTGTGCTCACCCTACTGTAGTGCCCACAGTTCAGATACGGGAAGATCGATGTGGCGTTGTGCTATTATCCGTATTCAAATTGATGTGTTGAGCATTAGAGGACTGCCTCGTAGTATTTATTGTGATCGCTCTCTTCCTGCTTCACTACCTAGTTAGACTCTCATTGAACAGTAAAATTTTTTTTTTTTGCATCCAGTTTCAAATTACTCCCAGTAGGTGATGGGCGGGATCTCAAATCGCTGGTGCTTGTACCCAAAAGGGACTTCAGTTGCGTCCTCCGTACTGGGTACACCATGTATTCTATTGGTATGCACATACGACCGGACTTCTACGGGATGGACGTAGAACAATTTCTATCTGAACGATGGGAGGAACATTTGCCTCTCAACAAAGATCTGACCAATGCAAAATGGGGATACATTCCCTTCAATGGTGGCCGCAAATATATCTAGGAATGGATGTTGGTCTAACTGAGGCGGCATTACTGAGTACACGCCAAATTTACTAAATAGCAACCTGAAACTTCCCATTGAGCTCTAGATTACATAGTATTAGCCTTGTGAAACTGGCGAGCCCAAACGCAACAGAAGTCGAGGATTCGAAATACTTGTAGTTCTACCTCGTAGACGGATGTGGAACGAGATGTCGGGCCAATGTCGGGCCGTGGCTGCGGTTCCATTTCTTCAGGCGAGATTGCCGTAAACAAAATATATGAACTCGGTTCGTGTTGCATCAATGTTCGTCCTTTGAGTCTCTTTCTCCTAGGGAGAGCTCCCCCAACTTCTTCTCCTAAAATACTTTGTATGTGGTCACATTGATAGAACCTGTATCGCATCTCGGGCAAGGGGTGCCCCGCAACTTGAGAACTGATCGAACCTGGTCTAAAGCATGGCCGCAAATGGCGACAATAGTGAGAGCGACACCAGTGATCTGAACCCCAGAGCGAGCGTGGGTCTTCGTGAGCTGTACGAAGTTGGGAATCGCCTGCTAACATTCTCCATATTAGCTACGTCAATCATCATACATTGATCCCGCTACTGGCACACGGTTGAGCAAAACATTTACCCTCCACAACTTCGACCATCCCGATGCCTCACGCCACGACGTGGACGACGCCACTCCTTTACTGGGACAAATCGAAGAATACCGTGCAGGCGGTCCTTGGCCCAGCCATGGCTTGTTGGTATCAAAGAGCTTGGAATATGCGAGCTGGGCTAGGCGACTCATGCTCTCAGATACGGGAAAGGCGATCTTCAAATGCGCTCTGGCGTACCTCTTGGGCAGTCTGGCCACCTTTGTTCCCCAGTTGAGCGAAGTGTTTGGCAAACAGAACTCGAAACATATGGTCGCCACGATCACAGTCTATTTTCATCCCGCGAGATCTCTCGGGAGTATGTTAGATGCCCTGCTTTTGGCTACGTCTGCGTTTTTCTACGTGGCTGTCGTGTCCCTCCTCAGCATGACAGTCGCCGCCTTTTTTGCAGATACAGTCCACCTCATTGAGCTTGGACACGCCATTGTTCTGGTTATCTTCGTTGGAGGCGGTCTGGGGCTTGTCGGTTGGATCAAGCTTAGGAGGAATGATCCCTTGGTGAACATAGCATGCTCTCTGGCCTCCCTGAGCCTGGTCACTATCCTCACGAAAGAAGGTGCTGTTCAGGCAGGCGACTACTCCACGAAGTCAATCTCGCAGATCCTCAAGATGATCGTTGCCGGTGTCATAGCTACGATACTGGTTTCTTTCTTGATTTTCCCCATCTCCGCCAGGCACAAGTTGAGGAAAAATCTCCTTCACGTAACCGATGCCCTTGCTGACATGCTTGCCTTGATTACGAGCAGTTTCTTATCTGGAGATGAAGCAGAACTGGAAGACAGTGTCTTTCAGGCCATTAGTGACCAACACAAAAAACTTTCTTCCACGATCCCCCAAAATTTGAAAGAAGCAAGATATGAACATTATTTGCTGGGCACTGAGACACAAGCCCTGATTGAGGCTAGGCTAGCGCAGTGCATTCAGCGGATCTCGCAGAGCATTGGCGGTCTTCGGAGTGCTGCAGCCATGCAGTTTGTCGTTACAAAGCAACCGGCCTTTGGGTCTGTGCAATTCACGGCAGAGCAAACTTCTACGCCACGCTGGATGGACTCCATGGAGAGCTCCAAAGTCAGTACAAACGATCGAGACTTGTTGAGTTACTTTGTGCCGCAGTTGCCTGTGCAGGAATCAACTAGGCCACTGACTGGGTCGTTGTCGGGCCCAACACACACGCCGTTTCGATCACCCGCACAAATTTTCGAGCTTTTCATTCGCCATTTGGGCCCTTCCATGAGATCTCTCGCTTTCACACTGAAGGAAGTGCTGGATGACTTTCCTTTTGATGCCTCAAAACGTTACGCCATTGCATCCAATCCCATATTCAAATCAAGCCTTGATCGAGCATTGGAATTGTACAAGGAGTCTCGAAAAGACTCACTTCTTGTTGTCTATGGTCAGAAGGATATGGATCGGTCTCGACCAAAAGCTGTTCAAGCGGATTGGGAGGATGCTGCCGCGTGTTGCGGCCACTTTTCATTCTCTTTGGTGGAAGTAGCTGAATCCGTGAAAGAATATTTAATCATCCTCGACGAACTACAGCTCGAGGTCGACGAACATCCTGCTGGGAAGACGTGGCACTGGCTGAAGTTTTGGCGATCGCCCTACAGCCAAACAGATCTGACAGGGATTGACCCCGATTTTGCCAAACTGGCAAAAAGGTCTGATGAACTCGAGGTCAAGTTTAGCGACAATCGTCTCAAGGTGTCTCCACAGCATGAGGTACCTCAGTGGCCCGATCAACCTCGCTTCAAACAATTGTTTTTCCGCTACCTCTACGCAGCTGCATCTTTTTTCCGACGTGACGATATCAGGTTTGCCATCAAAGTCGGGCTGGGCGCCATGTTGTACGCACTGCCGAGTTTCATCTCCTCGACACGGCCCATCTACCAGCATTGGCGAGGAGAATGGGGCTTAGTCTCATATATGCTGGTGTGCAGCATGACAATCGGGGCGTCGAACACGACAGGCTACTCGAGAGTGCTTGGAACCTGTCTCGGAGCTGCTCTCGCTGTGGCTGCGTGGGAAATATCGCATGAAAATCCCGTCGTACTGTGCCTTTTCGGGGCATGTATGGCGTACTGGACCGCATACATGATCATCGGAAAAGGCAAAGGCCCGATGGGCCGCTTCATCATGTTGACCTACAACCTCAGTGCCTTGTACGCGTACAGTCTTGCTGGTCGTGATGATGAAGATGATGGAGATGAAGAGGATGCCGCCAAGAATCCTTTGATCCTTGCAATTGCCGGACATCGGGTCGTCGCAGTAATCTCTGGTTGCATATGGGGTCTGATCATTACACGCGCTGTCTGGCCCATATCGGCTCGGCAAAAGCTGAAAGATGGTCTTGCACTACTGTGGCTTCGCATGGGCTTGATCTGGAAGAGGGACCCATTGGCCATGCTGACCGAGGGTATCTCACCAGACCGATATATGAACCTCCGAGAGGAATTCTATCTGCAGCGGTTTCTGGCTAAGCTCCAGAGCCTGGTAGAGGCTTGTAAAAGCGAGTTCGAGCTCCGGCGGCCGTTCCCCCATGCAATCTACGGTCGGATCCTCAGGAGCACTGAGCAGATGCTTGAATCCTTCCACGCAATGAATGAGGTCCTTCTCAAGGATTTAAACACATCCCTCGGGGAGGAGGCACTTCTGAAGGCCACAGTCAATGAACGAGCACAACTGTGCAGGCGAATCAGTCATTTGTTCAGCGTTCTGGCAAGTTCTATGAAGTTGGAATATTCAATGACGAGTGACGCGTTGCCCAGCATCGACCATACGCGGGATAGGCTCTTGGCAAAGATTTTTGAGTATCGGCAGAGTGACGCACAGGAGCAAAAGACCAAAGATGAGGATTATAGTCTCTTGTACACGTATGCCTTAGTCACAGGCCAGCTAAGCCTCGGGATCCAGGATGTATTGAAGGAGATAGAAAACCTCTTTGGGGTCCTTGATGAGGAGGCGTTGCGGCTTCAGTAGCAATGAGCAATTGCATCCCCCGCACCGAATTCATCTTTATACCTATGTAGGTACTCAATGTTGCATGGATTCGATCAGTATCCTTCTGTTGGGGCCTTCAAAATGCATTTTGTGAAAGCTGGTCGGCGTTCATGGTCGATTCTACGGTCTCGTACGCGCGTCTCGTTCGTTGATTATGCAAACATGCTTTGGGGCCGTGGGCGGTGGTGAGGAAGCCACTCGATCAAGTTCATATATGTGGGGGGTAGCAGGGGTTGTTATTAGTGACTCGTACGAGGTAATAGTCCATGCTCCATTGGATGTACGGAGGAAAAAGTATTTATTCCTTTCTCGCTTTGGACTCGGTATTAACGCCTACCTATGAGGATCCACCGAAAAGTGGATGTGTGCCCTGTGGTGTGCGAGGCTCGGGAGAAGCACAGCCTCCGGGTCGCCTACTAGGCAGCGCCAGGTCGAGGACGTGACCTCGCGTGCTTGAAGGCAGAGCGTGGCTGTGTTCTTGATATCTGTAATAAGAGGCACGGCCCGACAGACTCGTTTACGCCTGTTGATGGACCCAACGTCTTCACATCCGTAGAGTCAAACTGAAGCTTGCAATTCTTGAGAATTGCCCAGTAGCCAGTTCCTCTTTTACAGCAAGGAACGCCCTCCCCTCCAGTACCACAAGAAGATCACGACAGTTCTGAAACGCGATGCTGGATGAGAACCTGCCAAGTATGTGTGACTGATTGTCCCGTCTTCCACCAATCTAATTGCTAAGAGTTGCAGCCTTCGTTCTTAAACCATCCAAAGACAAACCCAAGCAATTGTCAACCTTTCTCTTTTCTCAGCATGGAGCCGATTATGAGCCTTCTTACACGGTACGACATCTAGATCCAGATCACCACGCCTCGAAAAATCGATATGCGGCAGCACTTTACGATGCCTTCAGTCCTGAAGTTCTCTATGCCGAAGTTCTACTTATCCCAGAATGGACACAACCTCCTCCTCTCGCAGAGCAAGCGCGGTTGAGCGGTGCTATCCCACCTCCTCCTGAACCTATCCTACCCTCCGAGTTCGTAATACAGCTGTACAATCCAGATCAACAGATTGTAGTAAGGCACAAGGCTGCCAGTTTCAACAGATCTGCGTCATGGGAATTTGAGATACCACAGCAGACCTTCCGAGCCCCATCTGGGTCTGCGCTTGATCGAACACAATACGATCCTGCTGTTTCGGAAATCACGCCCAAGATCGTGTTCAAATGGAAGAAGGATAGCAAGTTCTCGAAAGATTTGGCATGTTTCATGTCTGGCAAGAGTACAGATATAGAAGGCAAGGGGAAACACAGAGATCCAGATATCACTGTCTCCATATTCAAGGCCCTGAAAGAGTTGACTTTGTACGAGCCAAATCTGCAGAGGGTTGACATTGAAGACCTGAAAGGCTTCGAGGTGGTCCTCTTACTGGGAGCTGTGGTGATTCGTGATGTATACTTTGGCTCTTTGAAAGACACCTTCAATCTTTCTGCTGGTAAGAAATCGAGCCCGACTAGCCCAAGCGCTGCAACTGCGATCCTCCGGTCGGACACCAGACCTCAATCAGTTTCGCCCACCCATGATCCGCGACCGCCATCCACAGACCGACGGACCCAATGGGAAATCGAAGCCGAGTCCGCTCGACTGCGAAGACAGGCGATAGATGAAGAGAGACAAAGGCGGCGCAGAGAAGAGGAGGAAGAACGATTGACCAGGCAGCTGTTAGAAAGGGAGGAAAAAGAACAACGGAGGAGACAGCGAGCAGAAATTCAACAGGAGACGGAGTGGCTCAAGCAGATGTATGGACGAGAAGATGCCTCTGCTCGCCCAGATCTTCCTCCTCGAGATCCGCGACAACAAAGGCATCACTCTGAAGCGGGACAATCTGCCTATTTTCAAACCCAACAAGGACATTACGCCCCTGCTCCATTTGCCAATGCCTGGGGAGGATATCCTCCAGGTCCTTACATGTCGGGAGCTGCTTCACAGTCGAGTTTTCTTGCGCCTACGCCTTCGCAGCAACAACAAATCAAACCGAAATCAAGCATTTTCAATTTTCGCCGTCGGAGTGATCAAGATGCAAACAAGTTGCAAAGAAAGCGAAGTGCCGTGTTCTGATAAACCGAGCTTCCTTTTCGGGCCATGACGGACCCTGCATACGGAGTCTGGTCGGTGATTTTCCCGGTCGAACTTCATGTCATCACTTCTCAGATATTTTAAGGGGTGTTGCTGTCTCTATCTATCTTCGAGCAAGTTCTGCCCTTGACCCATATCGTTTCCAGCATCGATTTTTAAAATGGCCACATCCTTGGGCAAAAGAATTGTCTTCACTGGTGGTTCTGGAAAGGCTGGACGACACTGCATTCCGTATTTGCTCAACAAAGGACACCAAGTTCTGAATTTGGACTTGGTGGACTTCCCGAAAGGCCACATCCCTCCAGGCAAGAGTGTCTACACGATGAAGACAGATCTGACGGACGGCGCTCAAGTTTTCAATGCATTGTCATCCCTGTTTTCGATGAGTGAGTACGATCTGCCGACGCATCCTGGTCCTCCCGACGCTGTCATTCACTTTGCGGCGTATGCCCGCAACATGATTGTGCCAGACAGCGAGACGTTCCGGGGCAATGTCATGAGCACTTACAATGTGATCGAATCTGCTTGCAAACTGGGTGTTAAGAAGATCGTCATTGCCAGCAGCGAGACGACTTATGGTGTTTGCTTCACCCAGGGAGAGGATGACTACCTTTCTTTCCCTCTCGATGAGGATACTTACGATCGTAATCCGGAGGATACGTACGCCTGCAGCAAACTGGCCGGAGAGCGAATTGCACGGACTTTTGCCCGACGCTTCAATAACGATATCTATGCGCTGGTGATCGGGAATGTGATTGAGCCGCAGGAATACGAGAAGGATTTCCCTCGACATGTGGGCAAACCTCAGACGAGGAAAAGGAATGCTTGGAGCTATATTGATGCTCGAGATCTGGGCCAGATATGTGACTTGTGTGTCGCGAAGAGCGGACTCGGCTTCCAAATATTCAATGCAACCAACGACACAATTACCACGACAGTGCCGACGGAGGAGTTCTTGAAGAAGACGTGTCCAAACACACCAATCACGCGGAAGATGGGTGAGTGGGAGGCCCCGCTTTCAAACAAGAAAATCCGAGATGTTTTGGGATTCAAGGATGTTCACGATTGGAGGAAGTATTATACTCATAAGGAGTGAAGCCTCCGTACCAGTCAGTCGATGGACGAGCAAAGTGCGCTAAACCCTTGGATATCCATTGTGCCAACTAGTGTGGGAGCTTCCGAAGTCCCTCGCCCCTTGTCCAGCTGAAGCTGGCGAAGAGAGCATATGTGCGGGAGCCGCGGGACTCCCGGTCGGATGGTTGTGGACCAAGCAAAGTTTGGCTGTGCTGAAATTAGCTAAAATACAAGTTGATGTTCAGTAACTATTACCTAGCGAGCTAGGTACCTAATGTACAACTCGAAATGGACTGTGGTCCGTAGAGTCATCTAGACTTTAGTTTGAGCTGTACGGCGTGAATCCCCAGATGAAGTTCTGGGTAGATTACTCAGTACCGCACCAAAAATCATCGACTAGCTAGGCGAGCCTTGATCATTTTGGCGATTTCCTAGGCTCTCGGAGTTTGGGCTACAGGCCACCCAGGCTGCATCGCCAACTCGCCAGGCCCAGCCACTCAAATCTCGTAGCAGCCGCACTTGCAAAACGCGACAGACAGTTCGATCATCCCAACTGCCAGCGCAGTCCACCGTCCTGCCCTTTATTCATTTACGCAGGATAGCGATCTTCTCTTCATCATCAACGAATATCGACATCACACCCGTTGGGGGAATGATACAAATATTTGCGAGAGCGCTCATCTTTTCCACTTCATCGGGCCGAATCCGCATATCGAGAATGCCCTGACGCCTCTGCAATTTCGTCTGATGTGCCATGAGAAAATCCAGCTCAGGCCGGCAACGAGCCGGCTCAGAAGCATCTTCAAGGTCCGAGCGACTGAGACATGATGATCAAGACCCTTCCAAAGGACGTTCCGCTGCAGATGCGATGACCACTTCCTCTTCACGCCGCAAGCCCAGCCGGCGCGACCAACATGAGGAGCGCGATGCCACTGATGCGACAACGATCACCGACGAACCATCACAGATATCTGATCGATCCCGAAATGATTACCGAAATGATTCGAGAATAGAACCCGAACCCAGTGACACACGGCGACGGTCAAGCAAGACCGACAGGAGTGCAAAATACGAGAGGAGCCGTGGGGATAAAGCAGACGACGATTTACGGAGATCAAGGAAAGAAGACAACCCTAGCGACTCTCGCAAATCCAATAAGTCAAATGAGGAGGATGGTCCTCGCAGTCACCGGAATGATAGTGCTTCTCTACCTCAGAACCAGTTTCCTGGAGAGTTCCCATCCACGTATTCTCAGCCGTACCGACCATCTGGGCTAGCCGCAGAGTATTATGGTGACAACGGGGAATCTGTAGCATTTCAACCTGGTGTTCGCCCCAATGCTCCAAATATTGTCACCAGCGCAGAACAGGCCCACCTCCTGGAACCGACGATTGAAGCCAAACCTCCGCCTGAGCCGAGTAGCATGGGCCAAGTCGGTGCTGCTGCCAGCTATTTCAGTAATGCCAACTATAACGGCGACATTAGACCACAGACGACGCCTTCCAAACCTCCTCAGAAGCCAACATCAGGATTCAACAAACCTCCCAAGCATAGCCACTATGGGGTGAGCCCTAGAGCAAGCCCGACCCCCCAAGGGAATCATGCACAACCGTTCGGGCTCGCTCCTGATACAGTCAGCTCCTTTCCAGCTTCAGGCTCTGCAGCGATCGGCGCAGCCGCAGAATATTACGCTGGTGGAGGCGGAGGGATATCAACCAGTGCATATCAAACGCCCAACAGACCCCCTCACGGATCCCAAACTACATCAACCCCGTATTCCGCCCCTGCTGGTGTAGGAGGCTCACTGCAGCATTCAAATGCAGCTTTGTATGGCGGCGCAGCTGCTCTTACCGGAGCAGCAGCTGGCGCCTACATGTCTGGCCTTTCTCACCATCAGCACTCATTCAGCCAGCATCAACCCCCAACCAACCTGGGTGGATTAGCCAGCGGACATCCCCTGTCGCAAGGTACCCAGACGCATCATGCCCACCGGCATAAGCATCAGGGACTGTTCGGCCGGTTCATCGACTGGTGGCGAGATCCTGATGCAGTGGCGCGATTTGAGGAATACACCGAGACAATCGGTGTATGCAAGTATTGCTTCGACCCCATGAGCTCGCCCGCCGATGCGCCCCGCAGACATGACTACCGCCGACAGAGACCATCCCCTGGAAGCCGGTATGGGAGTATGACTCGAGTGGACAAGCCGTATAGACACAGTTCAGATGAAGATCTTCGGCGACACTCATCTGCCAAGAAGAAGGTGATAGCCGGAGGCCTGGCTGGCTACGCGGCGGCGAAACTCGGGGAAGCAATGGTCAATCAGAAGCATGGCTTTGATGACACATACTCTGTGAAATCAGGCCGTCCTGTGAACCAGAGTCGAGTCAGTTTTCAAGAAGAGCAGAAATTTCAGCGATATCAAGATGGGCAATTTGAACGACACAATAGCCGCTACAGGGCCGGGAGGGGCAAAATATCTTCTCCCAAAGAAGGACGTCGCAATCGCCGGTCAAGCTCGTCGTCATCAAGCTCATCTTATCACAGAATCTCTCGCGGCGCAGCATTGAGTACTGGCATTGGCGCCGCTGGGGTTGCTGTTGATGCTGCACCACTTGGCGCGAAATCCCGGCGACGAAGTCAAAGCAGGAGTCGATCACCCACTTCAAAGAGGAAATATTTCTCGAAACGGGTCTCTCCGATGCATTCATACGTCGATCTCTCGACGACGAACGATGGGCCAGGTGGTCTGATGGGCTTTTTCACGAGCCCTTCGGCCAATACAAGGAAGGGTAAAAAACCAAAGGGCCTGTTCAGTTTCTCAAATGCCTCGAGTTCCTCATCCGACGCAGATCTACGATTTGGAGAGGGAACCATTCGCAGAAAGGTCTCTAAGAAGCGACTTCGAGAAAGATACGGCAGGCAGAGCCGAGACAACTCTGTCACTGCGATGAAATACCTAGTTGATACCGGTGTTGCTCTTGCTGACGAAGCTGGTCGAAGGGATCCAAAAGGTAGGCGAAACAAAGACGCTGACAAGCATACAGGTCCAGGCATCAGACATGGAAATGGACGTCGAATTTCCCTGGCCGACCACGAAATTTCTGGCGGACGCGACGATGAATGGTATGACATAGATGGCGAAGTTGACTCTGAAACCAGCGTGGATACAGCATTGGCATACGGTGGAGGATTGTCCGCCGCCCAGAGCCGCGAACGCCTCTCTCAAGGTGGCCCAGCGACAACGTCGAACTACAATTTCAGGGAGGAGGATCAGAGACAGTACCAGAACAGCTTGGGACAACCAAACTTTGGCAACGGGTCCTCCTTTCCCCTATCAACGGTCGAAACGGCTGCCGTAGCGGGTGTAGGAGGCCCTCTGGGTGGCTGGATGGCGTCTAATGCAGTGTCGCAGAAATCAAATCATCCATCCGCTTACGGGTTGCTAGATCCGATGCAGGAATTGGAACCTCGACCAATATCTGATCAACTATCAAAGAGTGCTTCTCCCCAGGCTACCAGAGTGTCCTCAACTTCTGTTCCCCTGCGGCAACCTCAACCAATTGTCCCTGTCGCGCCTTTCATCAACCACAATATTTTAGAAGGAATCCGGCCGGAGGGACAGACAAGAGCCAGGGCGCAGAGGGAACCAAGCCCTGTCCCACCCGCGAGACAAGATTTTAACCCGGCCAAGCTGCCTTCTCGAGGCTCGAGATCCAGCGTTAATATCAACTTAAGCGACGAGCAGCTCGAGAATGAAGGACGCGCCAATAACAGGGACAGGAGATGGAGAGACACTTCGGGCGAGGACAACCGAAGAACGTCCGCTGATGCTGCCGTCTTGATGGAGACCACCCGAAAACCAGTCGAGCCTTTACGTGACCAGACAGGATCAAGGCCCAGGAGCTCGTCTGAAGCTAGTGGGAACCCGGTCGACACCGACAAACGAGTCGCTGAAATTAACCGTGAATTGGAAAAACTCTACCAAGAGCACCGAAAAGCTGAAGAACGAAAGCGGAAGGAGTCAGGCCTAAAGAAGGTTGTTGAAGGCGCTGTCATCGGTTCGGCGATAGTCGCGGCTGCAGATTCACTTGCTAGTAAAGATAAGAAGAGTGGGTCTCGCGAAGATGCAACCCCTACACGAAAGTCGAGCTTGAAGAAGACGAGAGAAAAGGACACCTCGTCGCCTCCCGAGACGCAAGAGGACAGAATAGCAAGAATGACTGCTCAACGTGTCAAGTCAACACCATCACCAGTTCAGCATGACGACTATAGCGCTTTCTTCGTTCCCGCGGAACTCAAAGAACATCTCAAAGAAAATAACGACAAGGCCGAGCATCGAGACGACTTTGGAGCAACTGTGGTTGAAATTGTCCCTGGAGCGCCCAAACCTAGCAGCTCACATCCTTTCGACCCTTTTACATATCGACAGTTTGGTCTAGAATTGGTTGATGATCCCTTGCTATACCCCTGGCCTGTCCCGATTCTTGGACTGATTGAACCCACGCCGCCCGGTAGCCGGGTTCACAGCATCAAAGGCGACGAAACACCCGTCATTGAGCCCAAATCGAAAGAGTCACAGGAGGATATTGGCGAACCACTTGAAAGGAAGGAGTCCAAAGTGACATGGGGCGACCATGACACGTATATTTACGAGGTTGAGACCCCGGAGTATGAGCGATCAGATTATGGCCCAGAGCCACATATGCAGGGGTATAAACCTGCAGACGTCCCCTCTCCGGATGAGGTTCCTGAAGAGCCAATCTCGGTCCCCGACGAAAGGCAGCGCCGACCAAGTGTAGGTCGGGCGTGGACACTAGATGAGAAGGAAGCAGAGAAACTCGAGAAGCAAGCGTCCTCTGTTGATGACAGACCTCAGATAAGCCGAGCTTGGACCGTTGATGACAAAGAAGCCGACGAAATCGCCAAGGGACTTCAGGAACGTCAGCGAAATGAGGGTTCTGCAGGGACAACGACTCGCCATGTTATCAAGGATGAATCCAACACTCAAGATAGCACTGCGTCCTCGATTAACCTTGGGCCTGAAGAGCAGCTCGGGGATTCGTTCTCAACTAAACCCGATCAGACCAGTCCAAATCAAACATTCTATCAAAGCCCTTTCGCAGAAACGGTGAGCGATTTAGGCGTTACCGGGGTTTATCCCGCGACAGTCCAACCCGATACCAAGGCGCAAACCATCTTCGCCTTGGAGGATGGAGACGAGCGAACCGAACGGGACTTGCACGACAACGAGAACATGTCTAACGGTGTGAGGATGAGCAAGAGTGACCGGCGTCGTCGAGAGCGTTCCAGTTCTTATGTAGATGCGTTTAAGCCACCTCCATCACAGCAAGCTCCTCCTGGGCCTTCGGAAGACATTTCTCAGCATCCAGTACCCGCCACCGACAGTAAACCTGACCTCGTCGATAACAACACTGCATCTGGCCCCTCTGCCTTAGGGTTGGGGTTAGGCCCATCTATCCTCCTAGCGGTAGACCAGGTAATGAAGGACAACACCGCAAAGGACGGGATTGGATCAGTAAGCAGAGTTAAAGAGCAACCTTCGAGACCCAAGGAGCCGAGTACGTTTAATGATTCAAAGTCGCAGCGTTCACGGTCTGTTTCGAAAGCGGGATATCACTCAGATCCCGAGGAATGGGAACGTTTACGGGAGAAAGCTAAGAGGTCGAAATCCGGTTCCAAGAGCGATGTCGGCGTGAAGGCATCCCAAAAACCTAAGGATAGACGACCGAATGGCGACGTAGACTTGGCACCGCTTCGAAGAGCTCGTACCGACGATGATCTCAACGAGAATAAGAAATCTGGAGGAATCTCAAGGTACAGCAATGGCGATCTTGACAAAGAAACAAGCACTGGTCGGAGCAGGAGAGATGAGGAGAGGGAGTTGCGAAGTAAACACCGTAGAGATTCAGATGGACATCGTGATGGTGATAACCGCTCTGTCACGAGCAGCACGACTGACTTAAAAACAAAGAGGGAATCTGGTGGCTTGTTCAGCAGCCTGTTCTCCAGCAACAAGAGCGATGTCAGTACGTCCAGCAAGAAGAGCTCGAAATCTTCGAAGTCGGACAGTCGAGCAGATCGAGAGCGATACGATAAGTCCGAGTCTCGCAGGAAACGCAGGTCCAAGGACAGAGAAGAATTAGACGATGTCGCCTCTGCTATCTCTGAACCATCCGGAGGGAGCAGACGAGGTTGGGATCGTCAAACCGGACATATTGATCAGAGAACGGTCTCCGATGATCAAACTGTCGACGACGGATTCGTTTCTGCTGAAGAGACCGCTGAAACACCAGTCAAGGACACTGCAGACCAAGAGTCTTTTTTAGGGAGAAGCCCCGAAATGCCACAGCCAATGGTCACGGATACGCCAATGGGTACTGATGGTGTCTTGGGGCCAGTGTCCGAGAGACAACCATCTTCACGGTCCGAAACTGCAACTAGTGTCCATATCGAAGGTACCATCATCCCTACGGAAGCTGGTCATGTTGAAGCACCACCTGCAGCTTCAATAGAAGGCAATCAACTTGGAATTGTGCCTAACAAGTCGACTCCTGGTGTTGACGAGGAAGTGGAGAACCCTGAGGCAGATTCTTCACCCAGTGTCTCCCACGCCGCCGCCTCTCGACGCCTTTCTGCTATACGAACAGGTGATATCCCTTCTAGCCTAATGGTTGCTAGCTCTCCAACCGCCGTCCCCCTACATTTCCGACGGCCCCCTATGTCTCCGACTAACCCACGCTTCTCCATGAGCTCACCAGTCATGTCACCAAGCTCTCCGCTGACCACCCCTCGAACTCGTCAAGGACGACCAAAGTCGACAGAGTTTCGATCCAGCAAAGAATTCCGGCCGCTGTATCTTGTGGAGATACAAAATTTCGCGAAAACAGCGACATCCGAACTTGCCGAAGAATATCCATCGTTGCCATCGAGCAAAACCAGCTCGGCACATCCGTCCATGGAAGATCTTCGAGCTGAAGCCCAGTTTCAAGACCTGTCTGATTCCGTTACTCCGTCACGTGTCAGTGCCGAAATGTTCCGCGACCGTGGCAGACGACACAGCTACTCGTATTGGCATGACAACGAGAAAAGGCGAGATTCCCCAGACTATCTAGATTCTCGATCGGCCACGCCAGTGCCCGGCGATGCACAGAGAGCTCGTGAACAAGAACAGAAGCCCAAGCCGAAATATGAATTCCATTCACCAAGCGAGTTGCTTCAAGATCCAGCTTTTTTCCACGACGTGGCCCCTGCGGATGAGGAAGTTGAACCTCATAGCCCTCTCCCTAGTGTCGCAAGTTCGGAGCTGGAACAGGATTACATGAGTGCACGAAGCAGGAGTCTATCTCCGACAGGGTCGCGAAGTCGTAGTCGAGGTAGAAGGAGCGCTTCGATCACGAGATCAACATCAGTCGCGTGGCAAGATGGACTTATTACCGCTGCGGCTGGAGCTCTCATTACATCTGCCATGATCGCTTCCGCCCATCAAGTGCTCAAAGAATCCCCGGAGGATATCACGACGAATGAACTGGAAACGCCAAGAGAGTCGCAATTCTTTGCAGAGAAGTTGACAGCAGCTAAAGCAAGGCCTGAACCTGAAGCAATAAATATCGAGAAAGATGGCGATCCTGCGAGCTCACAACAGCCAACTCAGGAACAATCAGTCCAAACAGCTGTTGATTTACGTCGGGACCTGGAATCGCAGGTCCCTAGTGAAGCCGCCCTGGCCACTGACGCTTGGCAAAACGTCTTCGCGGAGATTCAAAAACGCAGACTTGACCCTGAAAAGAAAGCCGAAGACACTACCACGGTCAACACTGAGGGGCCCGAGAAACCGCCTGCCACCGAATCCGTACTGCCATCGACCATAGAAGGAATTGTTTTGACGGAGCCGATGTATGATTGCCTATCTGACCCAGGTAAGGCCACAGAATCAACCTTAACCAATCCCGACAAAGTCAAAGAGCCTGAAGAGGAACTTAGTGAGGGCCACGAGGCAAATATCCGTATGCCAGCAAATGCAGATGAGCCTTTCCATACTAAACAGGGTCTCGATGAGCAGGCTGAACACGTCGGAGACTCATCAGACGATGTGGGGCTCCAAATGGAAGGCGTCGAAGAGGCAGCACCGGGATCTAGTGACGACCTGAAAAGGTCAGAAGATGGAGGAGACAAGAGTGAGGACAACGCTCTTTTGGCCTTTAATGAAGCCATGTCGCCTACGTCGCAAGGGAACAGAGAGCAAGATGATGTCGATGTCGATGTTCAGGATACCGAGGAGACTTTTGAGGACGCACCAGACACACAGCCGACACAAGTTACGCCGGAACAAGAGCCCCAAACACCTGCACAGCTAGAAGCCGTACTCTCTGTCAACATCGAGGAGCATATACTGTCCGGTCAGGCAATGACAGAGCAATCCCTTGCAGAAGATGAACGACATTCTGAAACCCAGGAGATCCTTTCAGGTATCGCACAACCAAGCCTAGATCCCTTAGAAGAGGCGTTCAAACAAGCCATAGAAGCTCGGGGCTTGACTGAAGGTGCAACTGTCGAAGCAGCTTATCAAGCATTTCAAACAGAGATTCCTGATATTAGGGAGACGCATTTGTCCACCATTCGAGAGGAAGGCGATGCCCCTGGCCCTTCGGCAGAGCAAGGCTCAGGGCCGATTGAAAGGGGAACCGATACTGGACGTTCCAAGAGAGATAAACGCAAAGAGAAGAAAGCAAAGAAAGCGGCAATGTTGAATAGCTTGCTGGAACCGGATTTCAAGCCTGCAGAGGCTGATCAGGATCTTCAATCTGCAACTGAGGAGTGGCAAGACGTCAAGACAACAGAGCCGATTTTGTACGAAGATGGCATTGCAGGGGCTACTCCGGTTGGGGAACCTCCAAATCCATTTAGTAATGATTTCGAAATCAAGACAAGCGGGTCAGAAACGCTGCCCGGTGGAATCAAAATGGAATCAAATATTCCCATGGCGGCTGGCGTTGAATGTGGCGAGGCCCCCTTGTCCTCTATGCTCGAAGACGATAGCAGTGTGCATGGTTCGAAGAAATCAAAGAGGGAAAAGAAGGAAAAGAAGAGACAGCGTCAGACGTACAATTGGGATGAGGCTGAAAATGGTGTGGAGCAGACCAGCCCTAGCGAGGCTGCCCAAGTTACTGAGCCAGCCGTTCAGCAACAGCCTTGTGCGATGCCCCCCTCGAGTGAACACGCTCTGTCGACACCAGAAATTCATGACGAACCAGAGATAGCCATTACTCATGCAGAACCCGCCCCACAAGAGTCAGAAGATTTTCAAGAGATGGACTCAAAGCCAGGCAAAAGGAAAAAGTCCAAGAAGAAAAAGAGTGTTCCTGCGGTGATCGAAGAAACGACTGGGTCAACATCTCAAGAACCACCTACTGCAGCCGCGCTACCTTCAGAACCTCAACTACGCACAGACGAAGCAGCTGATATGTCAAACCAGAACAGAGTTGCCACCTTCACAGAGCAACAGGTGCAAGAGCCTGTCGCTATCGAGGAACCTCAAGCGTCTCTCGGATCATCTGTACCGCAACCGGTTGATCTGACTTCTGCAGTTGTTTCGATTGATCCCTCAGTTCCCATTGCTGCTCCAGAAGTTACTCGAGCCGAAACACCGCAAGTCACCGAGTCGGGAGATACACAACTCAACAATTCTCCGCAGAATGACAAGTCGAATGATGACCCGGCGTTAGAAGTCACCACCGCTCCGGACTCGCATGGAGCAGAAGATTTACTTACAAAGCAACAGCCTCCCGAAGAAAGTTCTTGTGCACCAGCAGGGGAATTAGAAGCGGAGACGTCTCCTGAAACGCCAACAGATCTAACCGTGCCAGTAGAAACGGTCTCTTCTGGGGAAGGGGTCAAAGAAGACCCCGAAACCGTAGACGCATCCGAGGAATCTATACCCAACGTTGGTGTGGCACAAGATGAAGAAGCTGCGACACACCTGAGGCTGGAGTCCGAAGCTATTCCTGTTACCGTTGGAGGGGAGCAAGTACACAACAAACCGCAGACCGCCCCATTAACACCACCAGAAGTTGCCGGAGTGGATCACACCGAAGAGCCCCTAGCAGTTTCAGAACATAACCAGAGTCCAGTACAGTCTCGAGGTCCTGTTGAAGAGCCAATAACCCAAGAAATTGCCGATGTCCAGCACAAGGCGACTCTGGCTCCTACTAAAGAGGCTCAAGCAATTGGTGACGACTCCGGCTCTAAGAAGAAATCCAAGAAACTCAAGAAGGACAAAAAGAAGCGTCAGACCTTGATCGATGATGTCGTTGGCACGTCCGATCTCGTTGGAGTTGATAACGATAAACACTTTCCGGAGATCGCCCCCACCACATCCCAGCCCAAGGTTGAAGGTGCAGGTATTATTACGCCTCTAGAAGGAGACAGGGAAGCGGTCGAAGATCTGCAACTTGCAGAGGTCAATGGCAGTTCAGATGTCGAAGGACGGAGAGCACGCGCTGTCCGGCAACAATCAGCCACATTCCTTCCTACAGAAGTTGTGGAGAAGAGCGATATTATTTTCGAACCTGGAGACTTAGCCGTTGAATACCAATCCGGCCCCCTAATATCGTCCGATACCGAGAAAACAATGGCTTTTGCCTCAGAATCTGTCCTTGCCAAACTGCTCGACGAGGTTCCACGGTCCGTTGACACTACAGAGGCTGAAGTTGGGATCTATGGCCCTTCCGCTACCAAGACTGTTGCTGCTGAGGCATCAGTCATTGAAGCTCCAAACGCTAAGATTCATACTGCTGAGTTTCCGGTGGCTACCATTCCGCCTACAGGGATAGCAGCCCTCGAATCTTCTGTTAATGCGTCTATTGAGGCAGCTGCTGGGCTTACTCCCGAGCCTGCTGGAGAGCCTACTCCTGTACCGGCTACCGACCCTTCAAGTGAGCCTCCTGCAGAATCCACGCCTGAGTTAGCCACCGAACCTACTGCTGAGCCCACTACAGAACCTGCTATTGAGTCTGCTACAGAGTCTGCTCCCGAGCCAGCTGCCGCCCCTACTGCTGAGCTTACTACAGGACCTGCCCCTGAGCCTGCCACAGAATCTACTCCTGAAGTGGCCACCGAACCTAATACCGAGCCTGGCCCTGAGCCCACCCACGAACCGGCCACCGAACCTACCGCTGAACCTGGTCCTGAGCCTCCTCCCGAACTTGCTGCGAAGCCTACTACTAAGCGTGGTCCTGAGACTTCTGTAGGGCCTTTTGCAAAGTCTGCCCGAGAGCCTGCTACTGAATCTACTATTGAGCCTGTTCCTAAGCTTATCATGGAACACGCCAGGGAAGCCGCTACTGAACTAACTACTGAGCCGGCAAGTGAAGCTACGATTGAAGCTCCTTGTAAGATTTCTGATGGGCCTACTACCAAGCGAATTAATGAAGCTATTACTGGAACCGCCTATACTTCTGTCGAGACTGGTGATGAAGTTGGAACTCAGGCTAGCAGCGAGGTTGCTGTTGAGCCTACTGCCAGTGCCGAACTAGCGGCGGTTGCTGGTAACTTTGAACCGACGACAGAGGAAGATTTAAGCTTTCCATCGAAGCGGTCCAAGCAAGAGAGGAAAAACAAGAAAACCAAACGGCAATCAACCCTCGCAGCTGAATCGATTCAACCTGAACCTACAGCAAGTGACAAGTACGAGGTAACGGATGAAACAGAACCAATCTTTGAAAAGCCCACCCTACCTGAAGGAGACGTCCAAGGTACTGCAGCTATAATTGAAGGTAAAGAGGCCGAAGACCTGGCATCAACGTCTGTGACGTCAAAGAGAGACAAGAAGAAGAAGAAGAAGCGGCAATCGACTCGTGCTACTGATTTGCTCCCGTTAGAGACTGTGGGGAGCTCTAGCGGCAAATCGACCATTGACTCGAAAACTGTGACCAAGTCTCCAACCATCCAGACAACGGCAGAGGGATTAGAGCCTGCTCTAGAACGGGTCACAGAAGCTGGCCAAGAGATTGTTCCATCCGAGTTTGATATACCACTTGTGGAAGGAGACTCCGAAAATATTCAGGAAGAGAACTCGATATCCGTGCCTACAAAGTCAAAGAAGGACAAGAAAAAGACAAAAAGACAGTCCAACATTGAATTTGTGAGTCCTGAGCCAGCTCTTGGGGGCCCGAGTGAAGAAACCTCTCAATCAATAGCGGACAATGTCGCCCCACCTTGTAACGTTGATGAAACACGAACGCCGGGAGCGTCTGAAGACTTCGGTGTTGAGAACGGCCTTACCACCCCCGGAGATCAAGCTGAAGAAGTGTGGGCTCCTCCAGGCAAGAAAAAAAAAAACAAAAAGAGGAGCAGCAAATTGACACTGGACGAGACCGGTCTACCTGGGAATGGCGAACAGGTCGGCCCAGATGAAGCTCGATATATTGAAAGCGGCGTTGAGAATGAGGTCGGGAAAAACATATCAGGCCTTCCAGAAAACCAGACAACGTCTGAAGCTGCAGAGCACCAATTATTCGCTTTAGCGGATGCAGAGGAAAGGGTTGCCGATACCTCGACGGAAGAATTGATCCAAAGTCAGCTGAAAGAGCTCGACAGCCAACCTCAGGCAGCTGAAAAGGTGGAAGAATTGGGCAAGACACAAGGCGACTCTAAGCAGACCAATTCCAACCTCGAACAGCTGCCGCAAGGGGAATCCGAACTTCTGAGCGTTCGTGATAGGGATGTGTCCGAAATGACAGAGCCACTCATAGGAACTCCGGAAGAAGATCTGACGATTTTCGGACCGACAGAGACGGCTTCGATGGATCAGATGTCCAGAAAATCGGGCATTTCCCACAAGGAAGCGAAGAAAGAAAAGAAGAAAGCCCATCGATTTACCTCAGAGGAGCCCGAAGGAAAAGAAGCAGTCGAGACACCAATGGAAAATGATGGTTCCTCCCGTACCGCTGCAGAAGCTACTCAGCTTATCACCGAAAGAGAGTGGCCAATCTCACAGAAATCCAACTCAGAGAATAGTGAAAAGAAAAATCGACAAGTTACCTTGGACAACGGCTTCGCTGAATCTGTGCCTATCACGCTAGAAGTTGAGTCTGCGCATGTAGAACGCCCAAACGAAGCAGTTCCACAAGCTCCTCTCAAAGAACCTGAACTGGTGGAAACGATGGCCAGCCAGACGCAGTCTGAAATAGAGGATCGGGACCTCACCAAGGGTAACAAAAAGAAGAAGCGACAGTCGACCTTTGCGGACATTGCGGAGCCAACGGTTTCAGCGGAGGCATCAGCCCATCCAACCTTCATTACCGAAAGTGAACATTCCGAGGAGAAGCCTTTCTTCGCGACAACACAGGAAGATGTTCTAACCTCCGCACAACCAGAACATCCAGGAGAAGTCCATCGTCCTAATTTTAACCCTACCAATACTGATTCGAAATTCATTGATGATGCTGGACTACAAAGTGAGACGTTGGTCGAGGCTGCGCCCGCAAAGGACGGTACAGTCACCGAGAACCGAGAACCTGAGGCAACTGAAGCTGAGGATCCTTTTACTCTGCCATCCGCTGACATTGAAGAGAGTGACAGCCAGAAGCTTCAGCCAATTGACCGGATTGTTGCAGATGTGCCCACCACCACACCCCTCCCAAAAGAGAGCAGAGCTGATGTTGCCACTGTTGTTATTGACTCTGCAGAAGCTTCTGTGGATCGTGGAATAACTATCATCACCGATCGCGTTGAAGAAGCCCCGACATTAGTGGAAACCGAGCAGGCACATGGTGAAGAATCGTCGACGCCAGACACCCTAATGGCGATTGAAAAGACGCCAGCGGAAATCGCAAAAGAAAATCTCATGGAGACGCCAGTAGCAACGCCAGCCGCAGGGTTGCACTCCGAGGAACTTGCCACCGCAGCTACCGCGATGCCTCTGGAGGATGAGAAGCCGCAGTTTCAGGAACCATTGCAGGCAGATACCCCAACATCTCTTCACGGCATGCAACATGAGGCTGAAACGATATCTACCTTAGGGGTGCCGAGGGCAATACTAGACGTGAATCTGCAGACTGAGGAAATAGCCGCAGCCGGGACCTCGTCTCCGCAGTTCAAGAAGAATAAGAAGAAGAATCGTCGGGCCACATATGAAGAGCCCATTCCCGAGTCTCAACAAACCGAAAATGAAGGACCTGACGCCAAGGTGGAAGAAGCGGAAACTCTAGATCAGCCTCCAACTGCGGCGCAAATGAGTGACACAGTTATCGAGGAGGAAATGATCACTTCTGCCGCAAAGCCAAAGAAGGACAAGAAGAAGAAGAAGAAGCGGAAGACACTCTCGGCTGGGGACGAGGTGAACGAACAACAGCCGACGGTTCAAGATGGTATCGGAAAAGTCGAAGAGGAGACAGCGAGCGAACCTCGGCCTTATACAGAGGCTCCCGCAGAGTTAATCGATGAAGCAGCGCTAGAATCAGAAGTGAAACACAACGTCGCTGGAGAAGCCGTGGAGAACGCGGCCAAAACGTGTCTCGCTGTGGTCGAACCTACGGGAGATGTTTCCCTAGGGCCGGCAAAAGAAGGTCAAAAAGTGATGCAGACTTCCCGGTCCGCCGCAGATGAGATGGATGCAGTTTGGGAACACAATATGCCGAGTCTTGGCGGCGAAACCGCGTCCACTCCCGAAATACAATCTGGAATGCCAGATGGAACGACTGGGAACATGCGTGAGGCCGTTCCTATGGTAGAGGAGCCCGAGATTATCACGTCCGGATCATCTACAGCGAAGAAGTTAAAAAAAGAGAAGAAAAAAAGCAAGAGGAAATCGCCATCAGCAGAGGAGCCGGAGGTCAGTGGCGTTGGTAGACCAGGAACAGAGAATGAAATAGATACAGCGCGAGATGATGAGCCTGCGGGCCAGAGCAAATCCCTGAGTGAATCGAAAATTGATGAGATCCAACACGAAATCGAAGGGGCGGTCACCATCAAAAGGTCGAAGAAGAAAAGCAAAAACAGCAAAGTCTTAGCAGCAAGTGATGACTTCTGGACACCGGGCACGGCTACACCAAAATCTAATGACGAATTCGCGTCTGCTATGCAAACACCAATTCGACGGACCACGTCACCAGAACTCATGGACTATATCAAAGCGGAAGAAATCCCTGCCCCTGCACCAGAAATTGACACTGCTGACTACTCTGAGCAAACGCCGAGCAAAAAAAAGACGAAAAAGGACAAAAAAAAGAAGCCTTTTTTCGCTTGGACAGGGGCTGATGATCAGACAACCGAAGATACCTCCGGGATATCGACTCCTGCACCTCTTCCTGGGCCAGAAATATCTGAGTCTAGGGAAGATCTCGAAAGTGCAGCACTTACTGGCAAGTCGGAAACATACAACGCTAAAATGGAGCCCGAAACCCTAGCGATACCTGCGGAGTCACAGGTGATGAAGACCGGGGACACCCTGGAGCCAACCGGCCCTGTCGTTGAGCAAGAACCGGTCCGTTCTGAGAGCTACATTATGCTTGGGGCAACGACTGCCGAACCAGAAGGGTCCAGGTTAGAGGACACCCACGAGTTGACGGTTCCATCCGCTCGGCCGGAAGTGACACCTGATCAGCACACTCTGGGCAAGGAGCATGACCTAATACCTGTATCAGATCAAGCTCGATCGTCGTCTCCCGAAACCGAGCCACGAGGTGATGCATTGCCACGTGAGATGGACATTGATTCCGCGAAGACCACCTTCAATATCGGAGAAGCTTCGTTAGAAGGAGCAATGGATATGCCTAGGATATCAGTTTCGACTGGAGTCACGCCAGTTGCCGAGTCAAAAAAGGATCGAATATCTTCGTTAAGGGACCCAAACGATTTTCCCATGAAAGACAAACACGTAGGGGTTGTCACAGCCTTCAGTGAGGTCCCAGAAACATCCGACCTTCGGCGAGGAGTATTTAACGCTATTGGTATCACGCCAGAAGAAGAATCGACCGCTGCTGAAGCTAACGAAGAAGAGGCTGTTATAACCGCCAGAATTGCTGGTTCAAAGGACATGGATGTTGAGAAAGGTCCCCATGAAACTGATTTCGGCGCTGGCAGAGACACTTCAAAAAGCAAAAAGAGCAAGAAAAATAAGAAGGCGAAGAAGAAAAGTAGTGTGTTCAATGGAACTGAAGATATCGAGCCACTAAAGATGGAGCTTTACCGCACGGAGGACAGCACGGAGGAGACTCGGGATCCTGGACTCAACGAATCTGTTCCCGAAGAGGGCATGGAAAATTCCCATGCACCAGAAAGCCTTCCAGGGAATGCCGATGATTTATCCGACGTGAGTACAACCACGCGTGAAAGACGAAAGAGGAGAAGATCGCCTCCGGCATGGGCGGGAGAAGAGCCCGAAGATCTCCCAAGGGGTCGCGCTCTCACTCCTCCACCTGAACACGACGATATCATGGATACTGCCCTTGGTGTTGCAGCAGGACTTGGCTTTGGTGCTGGAGAAAACGAGCCTACGCGAGAACCTCCGCCAAAGCCGCCGTCACCATCTCGGCAGCCATCTGCTGGGTGGTCTTCCGCTAAGCCTGGCCCTAATACGAACCTTGCCCATGCAGACTCGAACCGAGACAGCGGTGTCCAGTTCGAGTCGCCAATATTGTCCACGGGCCAATTCACATCTCAGAGGGACAGTGGCTTTGTACCAAGTCCCGGGGTTCAACACGGGGACTTCGGCGATCCCAGGAACAACAACACGGAGATGAACCTACGTCCACCGCGACCTCAATCACCCACGAGCTCGACCGAGGATGTATCTAAGGTCGTGACGAGCAGGAAGAACATCGACCAGCCTGCTAGTCTAGAGACACCGAGAAGAAAGCCTTCACCCGTCGAATCCACTTCGAAGGACAGATCCTCGGTTTTATTCAACTCTTCTCCCGCGATGCCCTCTTCCCTCAACACGGACGTCTATACCCGAAGTCCTCAGCCTGTGGCAAGTCCTCTCCGGAGAAGCCCCAGTATTCATGGTCACCATCATAGCCGAGAGGAGCTGAGGCAACAAAAGGCCAAAATCTCACCGCACCACGAAGACAGTGACCAACTTGCGTCGAATCTTATTGATCGGTCAGCTGCAGCACCAGTGAGTCGCTCGGCGTTTGATTCGCACTCTTACAGCAACATCAATCGACCCTATTCGCCCGTTAAGTCACCACTAAATGCCATCAATGAAGACTCGACCGAGCCGACTTCAAAAGCGCATCCGTTCTCCGATCTCCCTGCCTCTCTGACGCCTCGACATGCCGCTGAAAACGACAGCCTTGCTTCAGCTAGTTTAGTGGCTGTGGCTGGGGCGGCCGCATTTGCGGCCGCCTGCCTCCCCTCACGTGACTCTACAGTACCTGGCGCTAAATCGCTTGGCAGAAGCAAGTCCCGAACCTCATCGTTGCGCAACCTGCGCAGCGCTTCAATCTCCCCGTACGACCCAGCCAACTTCGCGTCCGGGTCATCGCAAGGTCCCGTCAATGCTCAGAACACCGGCAGAGCTGCTGTTCGGGAAAGGGAAATGGCAGAGGTATACGTAAGTTTCACACAGCCTGACGCAGCATCTCCTAAACCTGACACCAACGCAGGACGGGTATGGTTCATACCCGGGCAGTCCCAGATCACCAACACGACCTCCGAGTATCCGACAACGACAGAGCATGCATCAAATAAGGGATCTTGAGGCCAAGTTAGACCAGCTCGCAAGCGAGAACCGCGCCTTGGCCGAAGCAAAAATTGTCACGGAACAACAACTCGAGCAAGCTCATTTCGAACACAATCGATCCGAAAATGCTACCGTGGGTTTCAACGCGCAGATTCAGGAGCGGGATGCAGAAATTGCGCGTCTCAAGCAAGAGGTTGCATCGCTGATCGCAACACACGAATCATTAAAGAAAGAGCACGAACAACGGTTGGTTAATTTCAGGCAAGACTACGATGAGGCTCAATCACACTGGCAAGACTCCTTAAAAGAATTGGAAACACTTCGATCAAGGCATAACGAGCTGTCAACTGGGATGGAGTCGATCGTGAGACATGAAATCGACACAGCCTTGACAGAGAAAAATGCAGAGATCCAACGACTTCGGGGGGATCTGGAAGCGGCAAGGGAGAAGATCAAGGACTTGCAATCTCAGATATTGTCCAAGAGAGCAGACGATGTGGTTGTCTTCCACGACGAGGACTACTTCGATCAAGCGTGCCAGAAGTTGTGTCAACAGGTGCAAGGGTGGGTGCTTCGGTTTTCCAAATTTAGCGACCTGAAGCTTTGTCGGACCACAAGCGAGGTCCGAGATGAGAAAATTGTGGACCGGTTCGACAATGCGATATTAGATGGCTCCGATGTGGACGACTATTTGGCGGACCGGGTCAAGCGACGAGATGTCTTCATGTCAGTGGTGATGACGATGATCTGGGAATATGTCTTCACAAGATACCTCTTTGGAATGGACCGTGATCAACGACAGAAACTGAAACAACTGGAGAAGAATCTTGGAGAAGTGGGTCCGTCGAGCGCGGTACACCAATGGAGAGCACTTACACTCACGTTGCTGTCCAAACGAGAAAGTTTCAAAGCACAACGAGAAAGCGACACTGAAGCGGTGGCTATCGAAATCTTCTCGACATTGTCGCGCTTCCTCCCTCCACCACAGCATTTAGAGGAGCAGATTGTGGGTTCGCTGCGCAACGTCATGCGCACAGCGGTGGAATTATCGATCGAGATGCGCACCCAACGCGCTGAATACATCATGCTCCCGCCATTGCAACCCGAGTACGATACCAATGGTGATCTGGCTCGGAAGGTATATTTCAATGCAAGCCTGATGAACGAAAGGAGTGGTGAAACCACAAGCAATGAGGACTTGGAGCGTGACCATGCCGTAGTTCGCATGGTGCTCTTCCCGCTTGTTGTCAAGAAAGGGGACGACAACGGAGTGGGAGACGAGGAGATTGTGGTATGTCCTGCGCAGGTATTGATCGCAAGACCGGATAAGGGAAAAAGAGCCAAAGGCTCGACAAGGCTCGCTAGCGGTGGCAGCGATGCAAAGAGTTTGAGGGCTGTGAGCACGCATAGTCTTGCTATGAGCGGGATTGAAGGGAATGAGAACATGTTCTAATGAGAAGGAAGTAGGGGTGGACGGGTAATATCGGCAATCTGCTTTGATTTGCATTGCGACGGTGCTGTTGGTTTGTCGTTGGAGGGATGCTCCTGTTGGAACGCGACGCTTTTCTGCTGGCATGGCATGGATGGAAACTTTGCAGTTGATAGACGACGATACGAATCTCGTTATATGCCTAGATAATGTATGTATATTGTGGTTGTTGATGATGAAGACGTCATGAAACCGCAGCGTTCCCTTTCGAAATGGGTAACGCATGCGGAGTCCCGAGTAACTGCACCTGAGAAAAGTTGTTGCCCACGTCATGGCCAAAGGTGTACTGAGTATATCGTTCAAGCATTGACTTTTGAACACCTCCCAGAACAGACTACTTCACACATGAGATTCAACATTCGCTTCTTTGTCGTCTGTTTTCTTACATGATTGTTAACCTATGTGTTCATCATCTGTTCTGGTCCCATTGGAATCCTCGTTTGATCTACACCTACCTACCATATCTCCCTCGCAATCCAGCCTACCACATACTTATTGAATGCATCCTCTCCCACCCCCAAATCGAGGCCCCTCTCCCCGACCTCCTCGGTCACGCGATGGTATGAGTGCCTCTAGAACCCGTCAACCGTCTGCTTCTTATGCCCTAAACGAGGCTCGACCCTCCACCGTCTCCATGGCACCTACAGATGGCAAAAAGAAAAGAAAACACCGCGGAGGCAAAAAGAGGAGGAGGAGGCGTCAATCCTTTGCTGCTCCTTCAGAAACCTCCGCAATGCAGAGTGGAAGAGATGTTCCAACGGACGATCCATTGATCGAAGAAGCCCAAGAGACTACCAGCGCACGTCCACCCTTCTACCAGTCCAACCGAGGCAACATCAGCGACGACAGCCTAGACAGTGAAGCGCTCCTGGACCACCGAGACCAACCTACGTTACGTCCTCGGCGTGACAGTCGCCTGGCTCCCTTTTTTGCTGCATCGTACCGGAGCGCACACTTTCCCAAACTCGAATCCGACTCGCAAAAGAGGCAGAGAGCTCAGCCAGATGATTCGAGTTCTAATGCATCCGACAATGAAGACCCCACAGATCGCACACCCTTGATTCCCGGGGCTGCAAAGCCTAAAACTCCCGTCGAAGCTGGCTATGGACTTTTTAGGGTCAAGTCTCATACGTCTACGCTGTCGTCGGGTTCAAAGCAGCTGCAAAGGAAGAGGACAACCGGGACTCCTGGACATTCGTTCCCGAAGTTGGACCAAGGCTACGACGTTAACAACCCGCCATCCATCCCACCGAGCCCTACTCTTGAACCTCACTATGGCGATGTTATGGTCGACGACGGAAATTTCCTGACGCGTTCACCGGACAGTCGAAGAAATCTCACGGCTGCCACCAAGGACGCGTTGATCATTATCGACGCCGACAGAGACAATGAGCCGAATTCTGCACCACCGAGTCCTAGACTTCGGCCTGGTGGACTTCAACGACATCGCTCGCTTACTGTGCCAGCTGAGGTAGATGTATGTTTCCCCGCAGACGAGGTATCCGAAGCTGGAGACGAGTATTATAATAGAACACAGCCACAGGAACCCTATATAAGTGGCCAACGACGAAAACGCCGAGTGCGGGAGTGGCCCAATCTGTGGGTTCTTGACGAGTGGAGTCGAGAAGAGAAAGAGGCCAGGGAAGCTGGAGAACGGCGGGCAAAGAAGGTCAGTGAGCCTGTTTTTGTTGAGGGGAGGCTCCGGCCTCAGAAGAACGCCTGGCACCATGTCGAGGAAGACAAGCAATACAGATACACTTATTTCAACGAGGAATTTGAAAGTACGATCCACGCTGAGACGATATCGGAATTGGTACAGCCAGGTGGGACTTTTCGCGAACTTTTCATCCCAGATCCCCCCGAATTGATCGATTCATGTTCCGAGGAGGAAGGGGATTTGCTAGGAGTCGGTTTAATTACGGAAACTCCCAGTGCGCTACAAAGTCCTAAAATTGCAACGGCGGTTGAGAACCAGGCCGGAAGGCCTAGTCTTACGGAGACGTCCCAACTGAAGCCTGTGGCCAGTGGAAAGAGTTCTGATAAGAGCAAGGACTCGGGCACAGCCACACCGGAGAAGAAACCTTCATTTGCTCGTCCTTCCAAGCCAAAGAAATATGGACCGCGGCCGACTTTCTGGCTCGATGTCCTCTGTCCGACAGATCAGGAAATGCGTGTTCTGGCAAAGACATTCGGGATTCATGCTCTCACTTCGGAAGATATTATGATGCAAGAAGCACGTGAGAAAGTTGAGTTATTCCGCAACTACTATTTCATTAATTATCGGACCTTTGAGCAGGATACCAACAGCGAAGACTACTTGGAACCTATCAATATGTATGTCTGCGTCTTCCGTTATGGTATCGTCACCTTTCACTTCTCTCAGATACCGCATCCTGCAAACGTCCGAAGGCGGATTCGCCAACTCTCGGACTATCTAATTCTCAGTGCGGATTGGATCTCATATGCCATCATTGACGACATCACCGATGTTTATGGACCTCTAATTACTCACATCGAGGAAGAAGTCGATACAATCGACGACTTGATATTGCGAGCTTTTCAACACACTAATGCCCTTGCCGGAGAGCACGGCGAAAGGAAAGTCGATGAAAGGAAGTCAGATGCGGGTGATCCGGGAATCAGTGGAATCGACATGCTCCTCCGTATAGGCGAGTGTCGCAAAAAGGTCATGTCACTGTACCGACTGCTTGGCAGCAAGGCCGATGTTATAAAGGGATTTGCAAAACGTTGCAACGAGCAGTGGGAAGTCGCACCAAAGTCGGAAATTGGATTGTACCTCGGTGATATCCAAGATCACATCTTGACCATGACGGGAAATCTGTCGCATTATGAGATGGTTCTGTCCAGGGCGCATGGAAACTACTTAGCCCAGGTCAGCATCCATATGAATGAGCGACAGGAGAAGGTATATCCCATCCAAGCGTCGATCCAATCGAAATCATACTGATTAAACTCACAGACTGCCGACGTTCTAGGCAAGTTGACCGTTCTCGGAACCATCGTTCTCCCCATGAATATCGTCACCGGGATGTTTGGCGGCAATTTCAAAGTCCCTGGTCAAGACGTGGATAATCTGAATTGGTTCTGGGCCACCACGGCCGGCTTGGTCATATTTGGAGTCATGTGCTTTTGGTGGTGTAAGAAGGTGTATAAGATTGTGTGATGCGAAGGGCGGGGTGATGGACGAGAATCTTAGAGATCGCAGAAAGCGGGCTAAAAACGTCTTAGGGATTTGACGTGGAAAGGCTTATTGGTCGCGTTGGATATGGAGAAAGAATCACTAGTGGTGAGGTGTGCCAGTGTTGCCTTGCAATATCACATGGGAATCCCCTCTGTATGGGGTGTCAATACACAACAAAAATTTTGGTTGGATACGTTATTTTCATTGCGCACACGCGATACGATACCCGAAGGTGGAATGGACAAAGGCTTGTGTTGGGCGTTGCTCGAGCTCCGTAGCTTTCCTTATACGCACTAAGAAGGGACATGGAGCAGCTGGTCCTCTGGAACTTTGCACATGCACCAAATCCAGGTGTAGTATGGCCATCAGACAGCGAGAAATAATTTGTGATTATGAGCCAGCGTCAGCTGGTTTTGGTCGTGGCGACGATGTAGATATGTCTGTATTAGACACTTAGATGTTTTGCTCTGTCCATATCAAAAGAAAACAGCCTCTGCCCAACCCTCAAAATAGTCCCTCAAACAAAATGTAAGATACATCAAGATTGTGGAGTCATTCCAGCATACCGATAACCGTCCGTGCCCGCTTGCTGACCCACTTGCCTTGCAGAAAATGTTTTCCATATCACCCCAAGCACAATCCCGTCTAGTCGCTAAAAGACAAACCCGTCGCTCCTTCACCCAAATAAACTACGAAAGACCATGTCCATGCTTGCTAGTTTAGAAGACGAGTATCTTTGGCCCATCGCCCTGTGTGGCAGCCCAAGAGATGGTAACTTCGTCCCCGACGGGGACAATCTCTCCGCCGTAAATGTGTCCCGCGATGAGCGAGCAAGGGAACCTGCCCTCGACAGTGGCGCCAGGTCCAGAACCAACTTCCCAGGATGCGCGGCCGTAAGCATTCACGTCGATTGTCCCGAGATATTGATTTCGTAAATTGCCCGAGGGCCAGCTCTCGCTATCGGCTGTTGCTGGAGCGAGGGATGTGAGTAGTTGTGCCTTGCCGGTGCCGGTGACGTAGCTTATTGGATCAGGACCCAAGTCGAAGACCACTTGACATTGATTGCCGCCGTACTTCTCGTCGAGTTCAAATGTGACCAGCGTGGTAACGTCATTTCCGTTGCTGCTGTGGGTGCGAGAGACGAGGCCGCGGCTGGTGTGAAAATTGATGGCACCGCTGGAGACGGTGAATTGAGACGTGAAGTCGGGGAGGATGGTGGCAATGGGTTGGTCATGGTTGCTCTGGCTTGGAACGTTGTATGGTGATCCAGAGCGGGAGCCGGTTGTCATGGGATGGGCAGGGGTGCTATATGGCGTGCCATTAGGGTAGCTGTAGGGAGCATCGTTGATCGAAGAGCCTGTGCTCATTGGACGGGCTGTCGTGGTTGAGGTGCCATTATTGTAGCTATGCCCGCCAGCCTGATCGCGAACAGTGAGAGGAGCAGCGCTTGTAAGGGCAGCAATGCTGAGGATCCCGGCGACGATGGAATGAGCGAACATCTTGATTTGCTTGTTTCTTGTCCGTGAGTATATACTAAGTATTAACTCGGAGTTGCGGTGATAATCGAGAGCGCGTGTTTACAGCTGTCTTTGAATGCTTGCTTTTGACTGGAACAATCGATCGCAATGAATGTACTTGAGAACCCTCCGAAGTTGAAATATGCTGCTTGATTATTAATGAGTGTGATAAGGAAATACAAGTAAAAGAGGGACTAGAAAGGAAAGAAAGAAAAGGTAACGAAAGTGTTGGTTAGTCGGTCAGTCGCTTTGTACACAGTTGGGATGCAGAAGAGGAAAACCAGATCTGGAGGAGGTGCAAGGCGGTCTTATACCGCTTGACAGGCAGATGACATTCTAAGACAGCGCTCGATGCGGGAAACTTTTAGAGCAGATGCTTTCCAAGTTCGTATAGCTGAAAGACGACGCACAAGTGGTAGTCATTTTTTGTCGAGCCTACTGCCTTGGCATGCAGATGCGCAGCAACGAGGCTGAGCCCTGAGTGGCCGGAGCGCTGCGGCTAGTGAGGCTGAAGTACGAGGACAAGTTGGAGCTTGAGTTAAGGTGCAGACGCCCCCCTCCCGGGAAATAGGGCTAGGCAGGCTACTGTAGGTCACCCTGCAAGCGAGCTCCAATTTTTCTATTTCATTCGCAGTCTTCCTTGTGGCTTGTTGAGAGCTGTGTGCTGCTTGCTTGGCTTTGATCTGGGCGAACTCTCCCCGTGATGAACCCCAATCCTGTCAAACGAGAGCAAGGGACGTTAATTCATGCCACTCGTGGAAGCAAAGCAGTTGGAAGCTGGCAATCAATGGTCCCGCGATTGCTGCTGACGTCCCTTCTCCCACATATTGCCCTTTGTCTGCCTGTTGCTCCATGCCATAAGGCTGAGACTGAGCCCCGAACCAACATTTTGCCCTTCTGGAGAAGGTCATTCCAGACTCCAAGGCTTGGCTAGTCATACCGGCTCCTGTCTCCACTGCCCCGTTCCCCCCGCATGAGATTCCGACCTTTGAAATCTTATGGAGCTTTTTCCACCGAAGCCTGCCAGGAAGCATTATGGAATTCCGATCCTGAGTGAAAGAAGGTATTGTCACAAGAGCCACCAGGTTGGGTTGTGGCCGCGTCAGTATCCTTACCAGCCACGGTCAAACTGATGCTGGCCGGTCTGACGACTCGGCCGGCTCATAATTCGCGGTTATAGCCTCCGAGATCCAGATTATATTCATTCCTGTCATAAAGCGACATCCTCCATTTCGGCCCCTTTGCCTTCAGCTTTGGAAAGCTGCTGGGAACCGCCCGATTCCTCTCCATCCTCCTCCTCCTCCTCCTTCTCCTCCTCCTCCTTCTCCTCCTCCTCCTCCTCCTCATCCTCCTGATCTAGCTCGGTCTCTAGGGCCTTGCCTTTACCCTTTAGCTCGGCCGGTGCGGCCTCATGTTCCTTATCTTCGGCCTCTTCCTCTTCGCTGTCCTCTTCGCCATCGTCGGCTGGCGTCGGTGGTAGCTTTTTCTGGGGAGGAGGTGTAGGAAGAACTTCAGGACCCGGCTCCCCGCTTACAGTGCTCTCTCTATCAGGACTTTTTGGCCGCTGTTCTTTTGGCCGCTGAGGCACATTCGCGTGTTGGAGGACTGGCGCAGTCGTGGTGGAAGGTCGGCCTGCTGGTGCTGAAAGACTTGGGTTCGACCCGATCTGTCTTTGTTTGGGATCCGCATCCAAATAATATCCACGAACTCCGATGATTTTTCCTTCTCGTTCACAGCCTTCCACCCATTCAGGCCTGACGACAGGGATATTCATCTCATTCGCCCTTTCCCAATCACGACCCCGACCTTCTGTACAGACGAAATGGGTGGTGTCAATCTTGACCGAGTCGTTGATTCTTGCGCCGATACGCGCAATAGCTGCTTCAAGACTTTCTCTCAGTTGCGGAGGCAGTATCCCTGGGGTGACGGTTATACCCGTCAGGTTGTTCATTGCGTGGGTCTTGACTGTGAGGGTATTGCTCGTATATATTCCGCCGCTGGTTTTGAGCACCAAATAGAATGAGTACTCTGTGTCGATCGCTAGTCCACTCATTTTGGTGCTGAGCGTCTCTAGGGGGCGTGGGATGTTTCCTGCTTTGCTTCCATTGCGGTAGAGGGCAAGTGAACGTAGAGTTGTCGTTGCCAACTGAATGGGATCCCATTCGAGAACGAGGGAGGTTTGTGTGGCATTGCGGAGGCGCAGGACGGGTGTCGCAGGGATATGGAGACCATAGGTGTTTAGTATTTGTCTCTGTAAGGCAGCGAAAGCAGCGTGTGAATTCCGTTCTGCCTCGTGGTTCTGTCTGACCTCGATATCAACGATCGAGCCCGATGTGATGGTTGACGGTAGCAGAATAGAAGGAAACTCGATCTGAAGCAAGCGTAAGTCGATGGATACTGTCAGATAGAAAGCATTCAACTCACCAACCGCTTGTCCTGGGTGAGCAAGACCGCGACACCGGCATCAACCTTGCCGACAGTCAAGGAAACTAGCATCTCTTTGACTCTTGAAAATAGTAATGCACAGCGCGCACAGACAAAAATGAAGCGAACGACTTGAAAAAAGAGAAGGAAATGGTTCAAGCTGAATGATTGTTGCACCAGGGTTGGTGTCTCTAATGCTGGTCCGCGATATTCAATGGAGGTAAATTAATATCTTCGACGGAGTGTTGGGCGCGGCGCGGCGCGGCGATATGCATAAGAGTTCCAGGCACGTGAAGCTCAGGGGAAACAATCGTCTCACGGTGGTCCTGGTCCAACGCCATAGGTCCAGGGTCAGGCACGCTCTTTATTCATTGTCCTCTGCGTTACATTCTCCTCATTCCCTCGTTACATAGTAGAAAGAGGTAGGGTTGCTGAAAACGTGTTCGACTTCATCCGGCCATGGGCAAATGGAACCCTCGAGTTCAGGTAGACTGCCAAACAGGACAAATACTATTTTATTTACTTGCTGCGGCCGCTTGCATTGGTCCTTGCCATTGATCTATCTGGCCGAAATAACCAATCAATTCTCCTTGCGATCTGACTCGACCGAAAAGATTTCGCCGATGGATGAATGAACGACGGCAGTCCAACCGTTGCTCCAGTCGTGGGAGCCTCAACCTCGCAATCCGACTCGATATTATGTCGACTACTGGGTATACCAACATTGACCAGAACAGCGAACACGAGACCATGGATACGCGGAGGAGTTCTGCGCGTTCCTCTTGGGCGACGCAGAGCATTCGACAATACCGGAGTCTATCGATCCACCAAAAGCGGCCTGCGTGACGAATGTTTGCGACTGTTTGCTTAGGTTGGCAGCCGAGACACTCAAAGCGGAGATGTTTTTTGCGTGTGGAACGGATGTCGATTCCCCTTTGACAGTGAGGAAGCATGGGAAGAGGGGCTCGGCGAATCATATGTTGCTCGATCAGCCGGGCGTATTCCAGGCGATGCAGGGGGAGAAGCTCCTTCACCGGAATTATGATGATCAAACGGTAGTCCTTGTATGATCTTGGTATGCCACATCTGAATGGAAAAGTCCGTGGACCCAGCGCTCACAGTACAGGGTAACACGTATTTTACAGATCGATCTTTCACAAGAGTGTCCGCCCCCAGAGTGACCACATGGAGGAAGGCACATTCTCGTCGACTTCGGTGTCTGTTCTATCCTCTAGAGCCTTTCTTCCTGGTGTAGAATCGACACCCGCATTGTCCAAGTGCTGCTGTTTCCGTTGTAGGGACTTTAGTAAAGCGCCGCATGCACCAACCAGCTCGCCATGAGGACAGGTAATGCCACGTTCTGAGAAGACCAGGATTTCGAGAGTACCCCTGAGTCCTGGAATGTAGTTTTTGCCATCCTTGGGACCAGAACGCTGCCTCCCGTTATGATAGTATCCAGCCCTTTTCAGTGCCTCTGCAAAGGCACTGGCCCATCTACGCTTGAGTCGATTTCGCAGGACGGCCTTGGGGACCTTTTTGATACTGGCATTCGAGATAACGCGCCAACGAAGAACGTCTGGGGCAAGTCTAGAATAATAGTCCGTAATGGCGGCTCGTTTGGGGCTGTATCGGTCGACTAGGAACTTGTGGTCGAATAAAGTCGGAACGTTTTCAACGTGAGTGAAACGTGCTTTTAGCCCAAATCCAAGGGCCTGCGGGACAGGAAGGGGCTTGAAGGGGCGAGTGGTAACGACAGAGGCCATCGGGCAAGCATTTTCAACGGCGAACGACTGACATTTGAGATAGCGGAAATAGGTTGGGTTGGCAGCAGTGGTGAGCAGAGCACAAGGAAAAGGTACGAGCACTTCGGTGTGCAGTGCAGCAGTGCAGCAGAGGTACTGAGGAAGCAGGATGAAGATTCTAGGCAGCGGTTGCCGGCCACGGACTAGTGGCCACTACCAAGCACTGGGTAGGCGTTTAAATTTTGCCCCACGAATATCCCGACCATTTATTCGCAGACAACGTCGACTCGCTGCTTCTTTCGCGGCCCATTCCACATACCGTTGTTTTTCACACATCTACCACGGCATCATTCTGCAAATACTCGAGACCAACGTCTCGCAACCCATCAGACACTTCTACCAAAAACAACACATTCTCTCTGTCACTGACAGTCAGCCAACATGCCTAAGAATAAGGGAAAGGTGAGTCTACAACCCGCCCGCACAAGCGCCACACCGCATCCAACTTACCCCGCCACGAATTTCTCGTGTCGACCCACGGCAATAACACAGAATCGCACCAGAAATGTCTGGCAGTGTTCTCTACAAACTTTATGCTAACTCAAATGCTTACAGGGAGGTAAAAACCGACGTCGCGGCAAGAACGAAAATGACAACGAAAAGCGCGAGTTGACCTTCAAGGAAGAAGGACAAGAATATGCCCAAGTCCTCAAAATGTTGGGCAACGGCCGTCTCGAGGCCCTCTGTTTCGACGGCGAAAAACGTCTCGCTCACATCCGTGGCAAACTACGCAAGAAGGTCTGGATCAACCAAGGAGACATCATCCTGTTGAGTTTGCGAGATTATCAAGACGAGAAGGGAGACGTCATTTTGAAATACAGCGCGGATGAGGCAAGGTCTTTAAAGGCATACGGCGAACTCCCCGAGAGTGCAAAGATCAACGAGACCGATACCTACGGTCACGAGGGCGTGGACGATAACGTCGAGTTCGACGAAGACCGGGATAGTGACTCCGACAAGGAGGTCGACATCGATGACATCTAAGGGCGAGAGTACTATTCCCTTGCAAGCATTCGCGGAGAATTCAACAGGGCTTGAAGGACAGGACTTGATGAGACATGGGACTGCATTGCCACTTTGCTGCTTTGTCGCGAGCATTCACACAAACACTACCAGTACAAGTGCAGTTATGACTTGACGGGAGTTCGGAGAATGGGTCTAGTTTTAGTTAGAGACCTCCAACGACGTTTCTGTTTTACCTCAATTTATACTATTCATGCATCTTCATCATTTGTTGACCACCGTGTTCGCTTTTGCCTCTATCAATCCATCCAATCCCTCTACGACCAACTACTACTTTTCAAGGCACAAAGGTACCCAAGAGCGCTGCCTATGCAACATTGCAAATGATGGATCCTCGCCACAGCCATAACAGCCAGTCAACCTGACCTCAGACCGTGTGTTCCAATAACATTGACTGATCTTCCTCGTCACCAACCCTTCGAGTAAAGAACCTGACGATTTGTCGACCCGACTCCTTGCCCACAAGTGGATCAAGTTCTTCGAGGCTCATGTTGGCAACTTCCAACACGTTTTTACATTCCAGGTACAGACGACTGGCGTTCTTTACTGTCACTCCAGGAATCGTCCGTAAGAGGTCTTGCGGTCCGGTATTGAATGTTCTCTCTTCTGGATCCTCATTCTCGTCTAAGCCAATCTGCACTGCTCGCAATGGATCTGGCTCTTCTTGCTGTTTCTTGAGTTCTTCAAAAATTTCCGCTGTTTGGAAAGGTGAAGATGCCCAAATGACCTTGAGCCTCGGAAAGGCAAGCGTGAGAAGAACCAATTTCGTCTGCAAATCCCTGGTCTCTGCGTCTGGCGCCTTGAGCGCCGAGGTCAGGTCTGCAAACGGATCTAGGGTGAAAGATTTGTTTTGCTCGAATTCGATGAGTAGGAATGGGTATTTGTAAAACTGGAGCATTGTTTCCGCTTGGTTGAACAGTCGTCCGTTCTTGAAAGAAGCGATTAGATCTCGTATCGACTTTCGCTCGACACAGATATCTGGTGAAAGTACATAGTCGCCGACTATTAGCTGACATGGAACAACTTGCATACTCCGACCGTGGAGTAAACTTGGAAGAGATGAGCGGAATTCCCGGACATCCACCACCACTCTTGGAGGAGCAGCCGTGGCTGCAAGTCTTCCGCCACCGGCGATTCGAGTGTTGACCGTCCGCAAAAAGGCTTCTTCGGGGTCCAGATTTCCAGCATCCGTGAGTGTGACTGCCATATTACCTCGCTCCTTGATAAGCTTCGTGAAAGCATCTTTCTCTCGACGAACTGCAGACAGGTATCGCTGCTCTTCAACGCTGTTACCATAGTAAAGGAAGTATACTCGTACACTGCGGTCCGAGTGGCTTGATCGGTAAACCTCGACTCTCCTGATAAAGTCCGCCGATGGCGAGTACATGATGATGTATTTCGGTCTAATTTCTTCAAGGAGTTGATCATCTTGGTCGCCGTCGTATGGATGAACTACCACCTGGTCCTCCGGACTGTACAGCTCGAAGAAGTCTTCTCCAGCTTCATTGAGATCATCAATCACCAAATCCTCCTTTTGGAGCGCTTCAGTCTCTGTAGGACGTAGCTCTGCCAGCAGACTGGCTACTTGTGCTGCCTTGTCCTCAACTATAGCCACCGCACCGTTGGCTGTACGGGATGGGTTAAGACCCGAGGCACCTCCACCTCTCACACGTCTGCGTTTGTTGGCAGGTGCTTTGCTACCAAGTCGAGAGGATGCCGTGCTGTTTCCCTTAATATCATTTAGAGACTTCTGGTTCTCCTCGAACAGGGATGCGCTGACTTGAGCGAATGTTTTTCTCCACCCAAGGTATTCTCGAAGTTTGCGTCTTAGCATAAATTCTGCGGAGCCCTTAGCTTCTTGTTCCTCCATCTCATGAGGAGCTTGTCCGTTGTTCAGGTCTCTAGACAGAGGTTTCACGTGCATGGACTGAAGATATTCTCGAATTTGACGACAGGTTCCTTGGTCGTTGCACATCACTAACACCGTATCATTCGAGTCACTCCTCGTCGGATTTAGGTACGCATCAGTCTCAATCTCCTGAAGGATTTCCGCAAGTACAGCCCACTTCGGTTGCTCCTCCAGGATAGGAGCAAGGGCATCTGGTAACTTAGATGTGGGTAGAACACCACTGTCCTCGACTTTACCAGTATAGACTCGGTCCCTTGCCGAGTTAAATATGATTGAAGCAGCATCCATAAACAACCAAGGTGACTGATCCTGCTGCTTAGAGTTCGGAGGTGGGGAATGTGTTGCAAGGACAGTATCTAGATACTTGAGGAGCGAGACACAGTCGTAGCTGAGAAGAGAGTGTAGGATCGTCCGAAGAACCGTAAGGTCATTTGCGATCTGTTTCGTTCGCCAGCTGACTCGGTGCCACACGGGGTCGAGCTGTCTTCGGACTATGGCGTCAAAGTTTTGGTGTAAAGCAGAATCTAGTGTCCAATCCTCCATCTCAAGTCCCGAATTGGCCTTTTTCAATTCCGAAATGCTCGTCTCCACGCATTCCATGACCGCTTGTTGTATTGCTTTCATCGAAGCTGTCATCTCTATCTCCAACTCAATAACTTCTGCCTTCTTCTTGCCTTCGAGGCTCTGCGCAATAGAAACATGGAACCTTGGCCACAGCGAGGGTTTCCTCAGAAATAAATTTCGCATCAAGCTCGCTAAAGGGGCATATGATGAAGTCAGAGGTTCAGGGGAGTCACTGAACGCTTTCAGAAATCCAATTTTGTTATGTTGCCTGAAGCACCGTACAATGAATGCTTCGGTACTGGTTGCGACCACGCGCTCCGCATGGAGGATAACCAAGCCGGTGACGGTTTCGGGATCTAACAACTTGGAGAGAAGATCCACAACAAGGATCCGACTGGTGACAGAGACAATTCCTCCTTCGGCGTAAATTTTCTCCCTCGCTGTCACAGTGGCTTTGTCGGTGTTTATGACGCGAAGGCCTTTCGCCAAAGGGCTCCGAGACACGGCATAGTGTTCTGCTAGTGCTTCACCTATCCATTCATTTTCACGGTCGTCGGCTCCGACAACTATCACGAGGGAGTTGCCTGCCGCATCATACGAATGGAGTAGGTTCGTCACAATCTTCAGAAGGCCAAGTCCCCGAGCGAGGATGACAAGAATATCCTCCGTACGAAGGAGGTGATAGATCTCCTGCTGAAATTGCTATCGAACGTGTTAGCCAGCGCTTACATAGATGAGAAACGTCAGTGTCGTCTGAGCATCACAAAACGGCCACGAAGCATCAACATAAACGTACCAGAGGAAGCGAAAGCTTGACCGGCGGCTGTGGAGTTGCCGCCGGCATGTTCACACTGGTGAGCTACGTTCAAGAGCAAGGAACTCTGGGAGGGCCGTCGATTCATTTGAAAGGCAAATACTTGGTACAGCCAAGAAGGGTCAAATTGCCACTTTAGCTCTTGCACTCCCCCGGAGCTGATACAGGAATACGGAAGATTCGAACTTCTTAATGATCTGCAATATAAGGCAAAGCCTTTTGCTACATATTCCTTAAAAATTAATAAAATTTTATATAATTAAAAAAAATATTATCTTTAACGGTAATATGCAATATCATTTCTCGTAACTCGTTTCTCGATCTTGCTACCCGAGGCCATTTCTTTGAGACGGCTCCTGACATCGGAACGAATAACTATGTCCTGTTTTTCCAATCCATCCTATGCTCATTTGGGTATCTCGGTTTTAAAGCAAAAATGTTCACAATCATAGAATCATAGCGGCGATCCGAGCCCTCCCGCGCCGGAAGACGCGCATTCACGTGGCATATAGAGTGAAACATCGGGTACATCTTCTTTTCTCGCTACCTGGGAATATATTCCGGCTTCTTGTACCGGTTGTACTGTGGCGGAGGCTCTTCGTCGTCTGGGTATGGTGGCCGAGGAGCCCCATTGTGCCTGATTGGTGAGATACGTTGCGGAGGATGGGCAGGATAGACGTGGTCATTAATTGGTGTCTTTGGAGGTCTTGGGGGTGGTACTTGTGACTGGTTGTATGTTGACGTCGGAGGTGGCGGCTGAGGTACGACTATCTTGTCATCTCTTCCTCGATATGGTAATTCGCCCGACATGCGCGGCGGAGGTGATTCTCCTGGAACCAGTACAAATTTGTCCTGTGAGGAGGCCAATTGATCCGGGTACGGGGGATTTCCAGGGACGCGATAATGCTGGGGAGGAGTCGTCGTGTACATATCTTCGTCCGCCGGCAACTCGACGGCTTGTGGGTGAGAGGGTACTGGCGGAATATTACTCTGTCTCAATGACCAGCTTGACTCACGGGCCTGTGCCTCTAACTGGTGATCATGTCTCCTCTTCATTAACTCGATTTTGGCCAACTTCGTCGCCATATCCATCAATGCTTGCTGAGTTGTAGGTTCGCTCAGATACTTCCTGGTGTTGACCGTCATCTGCGACAAATGTTGCCATTCGTTCATGGCGAATTCGCCGAGACCAACCGAGACGTTCAGGCGGCAGTAATTACCGACTGGAACGCCTCGCTTTGGCAATTCTGTCTTGAGCATTTGCTGATGCGTTTCCTCGCAGCCTTCGATTTTGGCTATGAGTCGGCGTCTTGCTTCTGCAAAGGCGCCCATGCTGCCACCTATGAAATCCTCCCACCATTCGTGTTGCCGGGCGTTGGTGCCTTCGGGGCGTTTACCTGTACCAATGCTGACAAAGGCTCCTATTTCCCTACCTGGCCACTCGTTGACCGCAGCCTCTTCTAGTAACTGCGGTGCTGGATTAAATTTGCCCGCGCCCTCGTCGATGAACACTGTTTGGCCGATTTGAATGGGTTTGAACGCGAGACCCACGGCGGAAGTGGCTCTTCCAGCTTCCCAGATCTTACAATTGTACTCGGGAGGTGGCTCTTTGCGACTATCGTAGCTTCGCAAAAGGATCGAGGAACCTGTTCGAGGATTTGTGCCTTGGTAAACGGCGGTGACAGCGCTGCTCTCAGTTAGTCATGGCTGAAATTGGCACCATATCTTGAGAAAACGGAAAGACCACTCACGTCTTGGTTCGATTAGGGCGGCTGTCGTAGAGGCTAGCATTGGCATTGCCCCAGGCTGGGAACGAGGGGGAGACAACGGAGGTCCGAAGAGGAGTTGCGGGACTGGCGATGGAATTGGAACTTCTGACGCTCATTGACCTCCTCACCGCAGTACTTGTGGTGCTGATTGGGCTCGTCAAGTCCTGAAACTCTCGACCCCCCGAAGCTGTGCCGTCGTTTCCCTCATCCTCGAAGAGCGTGTGCTCTTGAACACATAATTTAATAGCTTCTTCAAGTTTGGAAGCTTTGAATAAGGTATGCTTGTAGGGAATACCAGCAAATGTCTTGTCCGTTTCAAAGACCTTTCTTGTCATCCTCACATAGACCGCCTTGCAAGTTTCCAGGTCCATGCGCAGGCGTCCTAGCATGATAGCAATCAATCCGCCCGTACCAGTGCCGCCGATGAGATCGAAATAGTCGCAGGGTTTCGGGGTACCAGACTGACGATCCGGAGGTTCCCCCTCGGTCACGACATAGACTCTGTGCATGAGTTCTTGGAGGATGATGAGCATTGAATATCCGCGAACGCCGCCGCCATCTGCCTACATCAGCATCGTTGCAGCGACAAACCAGGGATTCGAATTCGGATCCGGGAGAGGCACAATCATACCTAGCGACAGAACGCGCAGAGGAGGACCCTTTGTGGTGTCCTTGCGCCTGAGACTGTTCTGATCCATCTTTGACTTGACGAGAGACGCTGGGACCTGGGACGGGCAAACCTGGGAGGAGGTGATGCGACAAGAGCGACTGATGAAGAATGAGTCGGCGGGACTTCTTTGTGCAGAGTTCAGCGTCTAGTTAGCAAGGCAAGCTTTGCGAGAGGCAACTTGCACCACGCCTCAGTCAGTGAGTGGCTTTAAGCATGTCGAGTGAGACCTGTGACGTGTTGCCTGCGTCGTTTGCCTAGCCGAGCCACCCCTCGGGGGCCCCTGGGGAGGGCCTCCCTAGCCCTCACACCCCTCGTTCTAGGGTGGTTAGTTAAGGTGCGGCCACCCGGAAACTCAGCCACAGTGACGCCCGGCTCTGCATCTCCGAAACCTGGTCACTCAACAGTGCATGGTACCCGCTGAGGCACCCATACAAAAGCCGCAGCCTCATTCTGCCCAGAACGGGTGTTTGACGTCAGCCTGATATGTACATAGTACTCCGTATCTGGACCCCTCTTGTTCCTACAAACTGAAAGATTTTGGTGCGTTCGACATAATAGCCTGAGCGCTTCAATCCATGCTCGAGGCGGAGTTCTGTGCAACATGTACGAGGTACGTGTACTCCTCCATACCCAGTACAAGCTGTGCTCACACACGTGATGACCCCTCTCAACCAATCAACTCGCGCCGCTCGGACCTATGAGGGTCTTCGATCATCCTCGTCAATTGCAATCAACCAGTTCTGTGGCCTTAGAAGGCACCTTGCCGGCACCACACGGCGAACAGAGTATATGAACGTGTTTCAAACTTCAGCTTGCTTGTAACCCTTCCCTAGCGTATTCAAAGCCCTTTGAACATTGGTTGCACGAAGCCTAGTGCCTATCCAAACCTCAACACGTCTCAGCCATCCTACCAATTTTCTTCAATGTCATGTCATTCCCCAACCAGCGTCTCAGACCTTCACCGGCGCCGTCTTTCAGATCGATAATCTACTGTGGTTATCATGTTGATTTCCAGCACCCCGAGCCATTTACCGCTCTATCAATCCCCTCAGCAGACCCTCGGAACTGCTTCGAGTGTGCAATATCCTATCACGGAATCGTCAAAATCTCGCAGACGATTGGCATTCACAGATCCACGATCCACTATGATTCAAAGCAGCTCCTGTTTGGATCGCTATCGAGACCGATATCCTCAGGACAAGCCATAGAGCCCAGGTGATGGATCTAAGTCGCCTGCACAAATTATTGTAAGGATAGTCGACAACTCACCTGATACGGACCTGTCCCGAGGAGATGATGCAAAGCACGATTCTACAGTCTCGCTGAGCTCCGTCGTTCCTAAATGGGATACGTAGACATTTTGCTCGGATCAGGCTCCATTTCCCTGACACTTCTTCCATTCGGAATTGGAGGCCCAAAAAATATCCTCTCGCCATTTTCAAAGACGGGCCATGAGCAAAATCGACAGTAGGACAGCGATGCCACAATGCCAGGTGTCCCCTACATAACGGAAAAGCCTAATGCCAGACTCGGAGATTTGTTGGTCGCGAAGCAACGTCTACCCCTAGCACAAAGGAGAAGCTGGACACCAGAATCTTGGATTTCCTTGACCGCGAAAAGGCTGATATCCAGGCAGAGAAGGACAATTTCTACCCTGTAGCAGCCTTGGTGGCAAGAGCGATGGCCGCCTTTAGTGCTATTCCTTCATTCAGCAAATTCCAACTCCCGTTGCTACCATTGTTTGTCGGGTGAGGTGAAGTTGTCAAAGAACCTCTGCCCTTCGCAAAATAGGGTTAATTGGTTGACTTTTCTCCTTTCGACAACATCGACCCGTCTCTCCGCCGCGTGGTTCAGAATATCTTTGACTACCAGGTGTCCCTTGTTCATGCGCCTGCTGGCTGTGCACTAATAGTGGCTATCGTCTCCCCTACAGAGGCACTTTTGCGAAAAGAACCCAAGACAAAATCCTGATTTTTGGGTTTACGAATATGATGGTGAAGAAAATTGCTGGCAAATTCACTTTCTGGGTGACTACGTCCAAGTCAGTCCTTATGCAGAAACAGACGAAGGTGGAACAGAACGGAAGAAGTCAATCTGTGGAAAGCTGATGGTGGAAGGGCGCTTGATGTCAATTCCTTGGCACATTTGGATCTATGCTACATATCCAGCGAGCTCTATCTTCTACCGCGGCGAGATATGTAAAGACCATTCCAAAGCCAACTCATCCCGGGCCCTTTTTGACACAAGCCTTGTCCAAGTTTTGTCATGGGACCGCGAATCATCGACAACAATGGTGATACCACACAGACCACATCCTTCGCCCACTTCTTCGAGATTCGTAATTGACGCAACCTCAGCAAAGCTGCGGAGGCCAGCTGTGTGGATGTAATTGTAAGAGCGCTGCTTACGGCGGGCGCTTTCGAAATGGCCGAGATTACGGTTGCGTGTAGCAATGGTAGCTGGCGGGGCTGCACTGAATAAGCGAGAGGTTCTGGGTGGTATAAGGTGGCGATCCACACTATTTCGTCGGCTCAAGTGTCATGGACCAAGGCCGCCATTCTCTGTCTCCCTCGAGATGAGAAGACACTGGAGGACTCACCCGTGAGCATGCGTCGTGCTATCAGTGTTATGATTTCGCTTGCCACAGACATATGCTTCATTGCTGGAAAATGGTTGTCGGTCCGCCTCCTTCCCCACACGAAGGATCGTCAACGGTCAATGTTTTGCTTGGATGAGACATGCCTCGATTTCCTGCTGAGACTCAGAGCACTGCCTTACGAGGTGGAAGCGGCTGCGCCCCTCGAACATAGTGAACGCTCATGCCGAATCAGTCAGCAGTGAAAATGGAGGTATGTAGTGGGCGGTGAAAAACGATCCCGAACAATACGCGATTTACACTGTCTACGCGAGCAGGTGGCTTATCGAACAACCCAAATAATCCAACAAGGAGTGATTATCAGGAAAAGACTCTAGCAGAGACCCTTGTCGGCCCATGAGGTATTGTTCTCGCAGTCTCCTTGTTCCTCATGTGGCGAGTAAGTTGATCGACGATCGTCTGTCATGATTTACATTGATATTCGCTCTCGATTCAACTGGGAGATTTGGGATTTTCCCCGGAAGTGATCACTCACTTGACTTGGGTGATCCTCCCGCTCGGGTACCTGCATTTCCGAGCCGCTATGATTGCTGTGCTGGCATTTATCAACCTCGCCACTACTCACTTCGCCTGCTCTGCATCTGCTTTGGAATCGCAGGCAACAAGGCGCATAAACACATGCCACGGTCAAATCCAGGGTAGAAAGACTGAAGTAACGAAACTGGTAGAAAACGGGAAGAAAAGGCACAAGAAGATAAGTATTTGGTTAGATGGCATTTTAACAGCAGATTCCCCCTGAAGGCCTCTCTGTCCTTTGTACGAGTTGTTGTTGGATAGTGTACAGATTACCTTGTCCGTGGCCTTTGTCCCTCCTTCTCCTAACCCACAAGATGAAAACTACCTCTCCCCCCTCTGCTTTCCAATGTTCTTCCATTTGCAGTTGATATTCACTCTTCTGTTGCTACTACTACCGCTGCCGCCGGCGCTTCTTGATTTGGTCTCCCGCTCCTCCCTCGCTGCAAAAGAAACAAAATATGTATAGTATACTTCGACAAAGACTGCTGGGTTTCTCCGCCCACACAGAAAGAGATGATCGAGGATCCGGAATGCATCGAGTGCGACCAGTTGCCTGGACAGGCTCTTGCTGCGGGCCTGTCGTTCTTCTCCATATTGATAAATGTGTGAACCCTTTTCTCTTCGTCCTTTCTCGTGGGGCGCAGAGTGGCACTCGCGCAACTAGCAATCAAACAACTCACAAAGCCCCCCTTCGGCCGTTAAGAAGCAATAATGCTATTTCAGATGATCGTAAACTCCGTGGTTGATGATGACGATGACTCTTTGGTAGATAACTTGACAAAAATACTCGACGATGCTGACGATGGTTTTCTTCGCTGGAACGCTTCGACAAATGCCGCCAGGAGATTTCAGGGAAATGGAGGACCTGCCCACATAACACACATATATAGCGCAACACATGCAATAAATTCTGAGACAGCGTCCATCCGGGATATCGAGGTCTTGGTGTACAAAAGAAAATGAAAATTTTGGCCCGCATTGGAAACGTGTGGTCCGACTCGGTTGGCATTATCGACTCGAGGAAAAGCTGGAACCAGTACTTGCGGGAGGATACGCCGAGGATGGGAACACCTTCATGCGCACGTGTTCCAGGATCTTCAGATCCTTGGCTAGCACCGGTGAAATGTTCTCACTCTCCCGCAAAATTCTGACTGTACGGTCGTGCAACCGCCGTAACACGTCTTCCTGCACCAGCGAGCTTAACCCTGGGTGAGGCGAGGTGTAGGTCGCATACAGCACCAGCATGTTCCCGAATTGTCTGCAAACCCCATGTCAGTCAATTTACACTTGGAAACCGTGCAAAGATGGTTGTACTCACGCGTGAGCCGTGCCGAAGATGTTGGTTACAACGAGACGGCGGGGAACTTTGTCGAAGGACGTAGTACTGCGAATTGCGGCCTCGATACACTTCCTCGAGCCTTCTAACAATTCAGGACGCATGGAGGGAACGTCTCTGCCATATTGCTGAGGAGTATTGAGGTGCGAAACTGCTGGCGAAGTCACCTCGGATGATTGCCCGTAGCCCGCAGGCGATTCTGATGGTCGGCTTTTGATGGGTTTGGTGGTGGGAATCGCTGCCTGTGACAGGGCATACCGTAGAGTTGGCCGCCAGATAATGTATTTAGCACCGTAATATTTTCCTCGCATCCGGGCAACGTTGATGTTCGGACTCTCGTGGTCGTTGTCGTCCCAATCCCAGTCGTTCAGCATCTTTCTCCAGTTTTCCAAGTTGTCGTCCAGAGCCGACATTATGCTGTCGCTTGGTTTTGTGTGGAGATTCTTCGATTCTCTATAAAGTGTGGCATGGACACTGTTGATCGTGGTCCGCAGTTGGATTTGGTAGGAATAGAACCTCAGTATGTCGTCGTCCCCAGCGGACTCTGGAATCCTCTCTAGTGTAATACTCGTCGGAAACTCTTTGTGCTGAGGGCTCTCATAGCGACCAATCCCGCTAAGAGGCAATTCCAACTCGGCTGCAATATCGCTCTCTAATTGTAAGCATGACCAGAATGCAAAATTGATTAAATTCCGACGAGCGGGCTTCATGGTGTTGTTTACATAAGGGGTCGACTCGAGGAGGATTTGAGCTGCAACGCAAGCCTTGTTGATATAGAAATAACTCGGCAGGATGCGTGCTAGTTGCCCCATATACAGACCCGCAAGTAGATAGGCTTGAATGTGCGATACATCGGCACCTCCCGGCAGCTCTCCCAGGATGTCTGCAGCTATGGCAAAGTACGCGAGTCCCGGGATGACATCCATATTCTTGCCCTGCGGATTTGCTGGACTCGAAACCGTGCCGTTCAAGTTGGACTGATGGTTAAATGGAGAGGTGGGCGCCGACATGGGCATCGGAAGGTCCGAGTACAGCGCGCTATGGGGTGTCGAAGTGCGCATCGTGGCCGTTGACGCAGGTCCTGGCAAAGGATCGCGATGTGAGGTGATCTTGCCCAGCGCCAACACCAGCAAGACAATGGCATTTGCAACCGAATGCTCGATTGGAGCCACTGCGGTATTATAACCCCTGGGCTGGTGGGGGCGACTACTGTTATAGTCATCCATTGAGGTCGGCGAGTCAGTCGTCTCCCGCTTGCGCTTATTGCCAATAGCCGTAACCTGTTGCGCGGCCCGATAATCCCAACTGTACTTTCTCTTGAAGGACTGAACCATGATCCGGAGGACTTTTGGCTCAAGAAAGGGGTGTAGGATATGCATATTTTCCATAAAACTCCGAAAGAATCGATCGACTGCTTCCGAATCCAGCATCAATCCACCACTAGGGCTCAGGCCACCGGGGTGTTCCCGAGCAGTATGGTTCTGATTTGCCATCGGCACATGCAACTGTCCGCTTCCCCAAACCCCGTGCGGTGATGAAGACGTGTCGTCATCCGTGCGTCGCCCTTCAGATGAGTTGCTGTGAGCTGGACTCGGAGCGCCTTCATGCCCATCGCCTTTGTCCTCGCCTTCACCGCAGCCATAAAGTCTCAAGAGGCCTCTGCTGGTTTCCTCGTCCAACACGTACGACGGGGTTATCCCTCTGGGGATCAGGGCCTTGATTGATGGCCAAGCAACGAGGTTCTGCGCGGCGGTTGTATGCCTGGCCGGCATAGGCGTATCCATGCTGTCTGTCTCAGAATTTCGCATTTGCATCATGACGGACGCGGCCGATGGGTTCTGGGACTGCGAGTAGCCAGACCTGATTTCGGAACTCCCCTGCCGGCGGAACATCGGATGCGGTGGTGGTGGAGCGGGACTGGGTGCTTCCCGCGATTTGATCACAGTCGAACTTTGCTGCTCTGCCATGGACTCTGCCATTAATACGTCGACGGTCGCAGGAGGTTCCGCTCGTGCCTGCATGAAATGATCTAGCAACAGGTTGATCTTGTCATCTTGTTGCTTGAGGAGTTGATCCATCTTCTCGTCCCGCTCCTGAGCTTTCTGTGCCAACGTTTTCACGTCCTCGGCCAAAGAGTCTAACTGAGCGGTAATAGCAAGAACTTGCTTCTCTGATTTTTGTGGGGGGATCTCTCGATATGAGCATTTCAGCCCATTGTCTTTACAATGTTGACACTCGGGTCTGCCCTCGTCGCATTTCGCCTTTCGTTGACGGCACGAATCGCAAGCTTGTGCGGCCCGAACCGGTTTCCGTCTGTGTTCTTGAGGGTAGGGATAAGGGTATGCGTACGGACCGGCCGGCGGAATTGGGCCCGCTGAAGGAGGGCCATAAGCCGGTGGGCCCGGAGGCTGCCCAGGCATCATCTCATGACCTGTCACAACGTGAAGCGGAGGCTGCTGGTGAGTTCCGTTGATCTGGGGTTCGGGCCCTGGGTAGGCATGACGCGGTCTGTAGTCGGTTGGGGGGGGATAGTACGGAGCTTCGTGGGGATTGCTACTCACAGGGTGATATGGGGGCGGTTGTTGTTGTTGAACATCGGCTGGGGACCTGGAAGGGCCCGATACACTGCCTGGACGACCGTAACCTGGGTCTGGAGGATAACCAGAGGGTTCTCTACTCGGTGGGGGATGGGTTGGAGGATATGAGGACTGAGGTGGTGGAGGATAAGGCGATTGATGAGGGATGTCTGGGGGCGGAGGACGGTGTTCCGCGGAATCGTTGTAGGGTGAGGGCGTCGGGTTCCACGCCGGCGCCGGCGGTGGCATACCTGCGCCTGGCGGAGGAGGATAGCTGTACGACGTAGGGGTCTCGGCTGGTGGCATACGGTGGATAGGACCTGGCGGTGGTTGGCCGTACGGATGGGGTCGCTCGTGTTTGATATCCACGTCACCGACTTCATCCATTTTCAACCTGGGATCCTATGCCTGGCAGCAACCAACAAGCCCGTGCCTCCCACGTCTCTATACCCAAGGGAACGTGGTACAGCAAATGCGGCATGACCTTATGCAGCGGCGAAAGCGGAACACGCGATCAACAGGAAAGGCTCATGGCAAATCGGTATACGACGCATTCGCCAGGCTGCATAAAACTCCTGCTGTCGCACGTCCGGGTTCACCTTGTGCGGGTTCGGTTGCCTGAGGTCCAGTTGGCAGAGGAAGATTTGCGGTTGGTGGAAAAATGGGAGACCAAACAGTGCACGTCTGCGAGGCGGGGTTGCTTGCTACTTTCGGAACGTGCCTCTCCTTGACTATAGCAAGCCCGCAGGGACGCACCGCAACCAGAGAATTATTGACTAGGTGGACTGGATTGCAACCCGGTCGTCGACGGGTCGCAGAATGATGGTTGCGATTGAAAGGCGGATTGGTGGTGGCGGTCTCGTAATCAACAAAGCAAACCAAATAACCCTCCCAGAACGCAAACAAATCCCACAGCTGTGGACCGATGACTGGGAAAGGAAAACTCGAGATCAGATTCAGATGCAGAATTGCGAAAGGCGAGCTTTTTCGAGTTTGTGACGTCCAGGATTGGGTAGCGACGTCGAGAACGAGATGGATGTCGCGGCCCAGTTGGGAGCGCTATTCTTATTTTCGAGAGATGTGGAGTGGATGTCGCCGTCGCGAGGCCGTCAAGGGCAAATTGGGGGCTTTTCCCTTTGGGCAGCAAGGACAAGAGTCTCCTCCTGGTTCGACCCGTTGATGGATGTTGACGGATTGTCGACCGAACCCAAATGAAACCCAGAAAAAGAGGTGTCTCTCACACCTTTCGTGATGGTGCTTCGGGAAGTTGTGGTGGGGAAGCAACCGAGGCGAGGGAGCTTTCTCGAGGGCGAGATGGATGCCCAAAAGCTACACAGAGCTCCGTGTTCCAGAGAGAGAGCTGATCATCATTCGAGCGAGGCTGATCGGACGAATGCTGGGGGATTCAAAACCGGGCAGGGCGACGGTTTTGGAGAATGAAGCAAGCAGTCGAGGGAATAATTTTTTAGGAAGCGGTCGATCACGGTTGGAAAGAAGGGACTGAAGCCTGAAGGAGAGACTAAAAGTAGTGTGGTGACGGATAGATGGGATGATGATGGGATGGGATTGGGGGGGGGGAAGGTGGGTGGAAGCGGCGGGCAGCAAGCGGTGCGAACGGTCGAGATAACTTGTGTTCAAGAGGCAGAGATGGCAGCGAAAGAAGCTACTCTTGTCCGGCTGGTGGTAGCGTGTGTCTGTGTGGTCGATGCCCTGCCGTCGATCTGTGTTGCGGGCTGGGGCTAGGTCGAGGACAAGACTGACAGGGGTGGAGTCGAGTAGTGGTAGTGGTTTTGAAGGATTGGGACAGGTTCGAAGCTCGACCAGAAGGGTGAGGTTGCGGGTCTGTTTGTAAGTGAACAGTGAGGAGTGAGGCAAAAGCGACGATGGGATGGGCGTTTGACAGCCAGCGAGAAAAGAAAAGCCTAAGAAGGTTCAGGAGCCGCCGGGGGTCCAAGGGCCAGAGCACCTAAAAAAAATGAGCCTAAGAGCCTAATACCGCACTGAGGAGGGGGAGACGAGGCAGGTCGGAGTTAGCAGGGCAGGGGGCAATCCCAAGCTCCCAAGGAGAGGGCCCCCCTGGTCCGTCCAACCCGTCTAGTGCTGGTGCCCAAAACCCAAGCACCCCAAAGCCAAGGGGGGAAGGGGGGATCCTACCCAGGAGAATGGCACCGAATGGTAATCGGGATACTTAGTCCAGGTCTGAGGTCTCAGCACCGAGGGAGGCGTCAGGAGCCCACAGCCCACAGCCCCCCGCCCACACCTGCCCGCTTGTTAACACAAGTAACCAGCCTACTTTCGCGCGATGTGGAATCTGTCAGTGCTCGTATCGTACCTGTTGCGAACTCGGAACAATAAGGTTCGGTGAAGTCGAGACGAGAACGGAATGTCCGTCCAGCCCAGCCCAGGCCGGAGCTCGGAGCTCGTAGCTGTGCAAATAGAGGCACAAGTGAGGTCGAGAATGGAACGTTACAAGCTCCAGCTACCAGGTTCATACAAGTACTCGGTAGGTAAGGAGATGTCTGCCAAGATGATGAAATAGGAGGGGAATGATACGAAAAGCACGCGGAGTGCCTGGTTGGTTGGGTGGCGAGGAAGTGTCAGGTCCGCCCAGCGAGAAGCCTTGATGGATTAGCCACTCGATACAACTGGGAGGGTTGATGATAATGGCTTATTCCTTATACACTATGTACTGTGAGTCTACTCTATGGCATCGGATCGAGTCGGTGAGTACACGTTACTTAGGTACATACAGTAGTACCTACGAACCATCGCATATCTCCAGAGACACACCACGAAGACTCAGCGAGCCAGCCACCCGTACTCCGTAGTCTCTGCCAATGGTAAAGGATGGATTCCTGATTCCTGGCTGCAAAAGTCAAGTGACTTCTCCGTCATGTGTCAGACCCATGATTTTTTGGCTCCTCTCGTCGTGGCCCACCTTGCCCACCCAGAGAGCCTGGACCTTGGTCGTTTACCTCGTACCCTACCTAGCACAGTCCTTATAGTTAGGCCCTTTTGCGAGCTTCTCACAGCGAGTCATTGATTCTACCTCAGTACTTAGGTAGGTGATTAATAGAAAGCCATGAGTGAGGACTTTCCATCTCCGTCCACTCTTCCTTAAGCCTCAAAGATCTCAACATAACTGTCGGGGAAAAGAACCGTTGGGGGTTTGGGGGGTTGTCAAGCGCCCACTGATTGGCCTACGGGCCGCGTGAGCGATTGGAAATTATCTCGCCTGACCCGCGTACCGAGGTACCAGGTACATGCCTGGAAATCATCATCTTCAGGCCTGTGGGCCTCTTCGGGTACTTTTTGGAAGGTACCTAGGAACCTTCCTGGGGCACATAACACGCGCGGGACTCAGCGTCGAGTCAGGCACAGTCGACGTTGTTCTTATATTCGCAGGCAATGATCTACCTCGCCTCTCACAACCTCCCCTTAGGCCCTTGGTGCCCTTCCTTGTTAAGCCGAGTGCTCCGTAAGTACTGGGTACACCTTTTTGTAACAATGTCCTCTGTGTACCACATCTTCTGCCCCTCTTTTTTTCCACTCCTAAAGGAAGCCCTGGCGCCTCCTGCGCGTCATTCAGGTCTGCAAGAGAAAAGAGAGCGATGCTCGTGCTCTAGATAGACCGTTAGAGTCGCTTTCGTGTCCACCTGACGACTCCTTCGCCCGTCTACCTGACAGCGTGACAGAACCGTCCGTTACAATCATCAAAGTTTGGCATCACTACCATCAGGTCAAAACCTGCTACTCCTGGGCCCTTCGTACCTATACATACACTGTTTCGCGCTCTTGCTGCCTATGCCATTGTTGTTTCCTGGGAGGGACCTCTTGACCTCATCCCCCATCCTTCTCGCGACCCGACAGTGTCTTTAAGGCTCCATGAGCCACAATTCTTTTTGACCTTTCTGTCGAGTCCTGCCGCTAGCGGGCCTCGCTGTCTCTACCTTTCAGGGGGTCTTTTACCTGGAATCTTGGAAAGAATTGCCCCTCCAGCCTCCACCGTGCCCGAATATCGTCCATCACCGAGTCATCTTCTTTCACGTCAGAGGTGTTTGGATGATTCAGACGAGGTGGATCACGCAATGGTCGGTCGGGTCTACCTAAGTATGCGCACATTGCTCAGCAATAAGAATGGGATGTCGGTCAAATCTCTTTCCCCAACTTGGAGAGGACCATCACTTTGATACTCTGACCCTTGACCATGTCAGGAATAGAGTCCGAGAAGGTTCACAATGACGGACTGAAATAAAGTCAAGCAGACGGAAACTGCCCGCCGAACTCGTGCGGCTTCCGAATTCTCCGAGTTGGTCGTTTCATCTTGATCCTCGCTTCTGGGTTGTCTACTATTTAATAACACCCCCATAATCAATACAGAGGGTTCGGATGGCTCCGCCCTCTCCCATGTGTGGGCGTGAATGCCGGCAACTGGAAAAGTAGAAGGGCTACGGCGGTCCGGCGCCGAGTTATGATCCGCCAATCATTCTCGGAGCTTCCCACGAGAATCCTCCCTTCGCATCATGCTCTCATTTCCGAGAAGAGGTTTGGTGAAACTGGCCTCGAACACGACTCGTCATTCATCGAGATATTCCAGTGCGCAGCACCAAATCGCTGTCGATCCACGATATTCACTGTCTCGAGGGATGCGTCGGTACGAGGGAACAAGTGAAGTGAAAATTCTCATCTGAAACACCAAGCCTCTCAGCAAACTCTGCATATTATTACGAATCGCGACTGACTGGCTTTTTAGCCCTGGAGTCAAATGCTGCCAAGCTCGCCTATTCTTTGTCTTTGTGGTTCGAGGAGTCATAGTCGTTGCATCCGAACCGGATTGCCCCGGATCGCGCTCCGCCCAATCGAGGAGTCGGCTTTTCGCGGTCTTCCGAGAATCTTTTAGTTGATACCAGGTGCTCAGCACTTGTTTGTACAAGTACTCCTTTAGGCCGGCTACAAGTGTGTAGGCGGAGCCATCAGACGTTCGAGGTCCTAGACGTGCTGATTACTTACCTAGATTTGGTGGTGATGAACTCTTTAGAGAAAGAGCAAGGGTCACCTTCAATATGGAGTACCTATACAAAGTAACATGGCTGGAGTGCACAATGTGTGTCCGTGTAATGAGTCTCTAAGACACTGGGCAGAACTGGGAAGCATTGAGGTACCGGCCTGCCTCGCTACTTCGTACCTACTTGTTAGTAATGCATGAGCGGAAGCGCTCCGATTGCGTAAACCCAAAAAGGACATGGTGGCCAACGCCAATGCCCGTATTGCCATTTCACTCGCAGGAGAACGCCCAGTGTCTGCAATAGGTATAGTAGAGTCACCCTTCGGCCCTTGGAGATTCAGTACAAAGATATCGGGAATTATTATCCGGAGCTGCCCCAGAA